AATTCTTTTGATACTCTTACTCAAAAAACAAACATGCGGAATATTTTCTCTAAAGAACACATGTACACAATGTGGTACGGAAGGGGAGGGGGCATCATCAACAGTCACCATCATCCAAAGTAAATTACAAACCCCACATGAAATCACCATGTATTTACATTTATACAATGTATCGTCTACCTCTCCACCCATGTGTACATTATTATAGATTCCCTCCCGAATGTTTCTAATTCCTTAAATCTCCACAAAAAGTTCGTCTGTCTAGTTTACAGGTGAAGCGTGTGACTACTTGAAGCTGTATCTGAATTACATTTGATATAATGTACATCTGAAAGAATGCAGACCGAACCCTACTACTGCAAAACCCTTCTTTCTCTTCCTTCTTTCCACACGCTGAATTTTACATTTTTTTCTCGTCTTTTCTGTCCCTTTTTTTCTTGCAATATCACCTTTTTGCGAGCCTCAGTACTATGGATGGTCGGGTGGTGCTTACGCGGGCTCGAGCAGGCGAAACAATCGTCCATTCCGGATCATTCGGGTCTTCCGGGTCGTCTTCGCTGTCGTCTGTTTCCATCATGACCTCGGCGGGCGGCGTGTCGACATTCGGCGGCACCGGGGTCATGGCAGGTAACGTCAGGGCGTTGACCTCTCCGTCGGGGAGGGGGGGTTCACTACGCGTGGTGAGGGGGGTGGTGGTTGTGGGCCTGAGCGCGGCGGGGGAGGTGGGGGGTGCGGCGCCATCGGGCTGATGAGGAAGTTGTACTCTTCCTCGTTTAGCGGGAATTTCCGCCGCGGCCACGGATCCAGCCAGCCTCCGAAGTCTTCGATCGAAGGCGTTGCCGATCGCGGGCCCTCTTCGGTCGAACTTCTGCGCCCTTTTGAGTTCTGTCGCGTGACGTTTGCCGGACTAATCGGGCTGTCCTTCGAAACGGGGGTTAGCGGAGAGGGGATGTTAAGACTGAGAGGAGTTCCCATGGAGGAATCGAGGTTCACGTCGGGAGAAGCGGGTTCCGGGGTGCCGCTGTTGGTTCGGTTCGAGCGGGAGCGGCTCTTGTGGGTGACGAACGCCAGGAATCGCTGCTTCTCCGCGTGCTCGCACTTGTTGTGTCGGACGGAGATCAGATCGTCGGAAAGATCCTCGATCTGAGTTGGTGAAAATAGCAGAACAGAATGTCAAAAAAACTTGTGAACAACTTTAGTCTTCACTTAAGTGTATTAACTTAGTCAAAATAAGCTCACCATAAGTTTTCAGTCGATCTGGTCAACCTTCATCAGATGTTAGAAAAAAACTTAAATCCTATAACTATGATCTTTCATTCGAAGTCAATGTTATCTTTAACCAAATGTGGATATAAAAGCAGTCTAAAGGGTTGCTTCTACAATACTTCTGTATCTAATTTCAAAATCTTAGGTTTTCATGGGATGTTTGGTCAACATTTGTATCAGAATTTGCTGAAGAGTGTCACAGTAACTGCACAATACTAGTACATTACAGGTTTTGTGCAGGCACAGTACATTCTCGCAATGGGCTCACAGCTCCGATTTTAGATACGCAAAAGTGCATCATTTATGCCATGATGGAGAGAAATTTTCCAAGTGATGGAGCTCACCTCCTCTTCCTCCTCCTCCTCCTCCCTCTCTGGTTCCTCTGTCTCGGTCGTGCCGTTGGGAACCACAGGTGTCTCCTTCTCAGGTGTCTCTGGCTCCTCTTTACCAGCCTTACTAACCTTTCTCCACCTGCAAAGGACAACACCTGAGTTACCTCACCTGTATAAAGATTCTATGGCCCCATTCCCACTAGGGTAAAATTGTCTGGATCAAGCCTAGCTGATTCGCTTTGATCTGGCTTCCAGCCAGCTTCGAGCCAGATCAAGCCGGATCGAAGTGAATCAATTTGGCTCGATCCAGACAATAGGATTCTTAGTTCTTTTTCTCACCTGTTTAACTTCTCACACACAAATTTTATCTTCAGGTGTAGCTTTCAACACAATAACTACCTAAAGTTTTAAAAAAAACTGGCCAAGATCTACAGAAGGGATTAGACAATCAACTTTTACTGACACACAGTGCTATATGTAACAGGAATCCAATGCTAAATTTTGCCCAAAAATACTTAAAAAGAAACTACCAGTCTAAATGGTAAACGTTTAACAGGAATTCACTGCTAAATTTTGTATAAAAATAAGCACCAGCCTAACTCTGGGAGTTAGTCAACAAGGAACATCACACGTACTTTGGTGTGAGAATCTCCTTGTATTTCAGCCTCTCAACGCGAGTTGTGGACGCCATGGAATATGGGATGACAATGTTGTTGATGTCAAACGCACTGTGACCCTGACGCTTCTTGTTAAGCACAGCCTGAGAGAGAAAAAAGAAAGTTAAGCATTTTGTTTCTCATTAAAAATATAAAACAAATGTGAAGCATTTCATTTTCTCCTGGTAATCTCCAAGCAGATCTTTTGGTGGCCGCAAAAGACAGTATCAAATAGGCCAGGCAGTATCAATTAGCAACACAGTGGACACTGCCTTGCCACCGTATGATCTGCTTGGAGATTATTTCCCTTGGACTATCCTTTCTTTTACGGATACTCAATCATAAAAGGTCATACATGGAAGATTTGCTGGTCATATTGATCAACTTCCTTGTTTTAATTACAAAATAAAAACGACAGACATCCTATGTCAAATATGTTGTAAACCAAAGTAAACATTTGAAAGAGTTGTCTCAGACACAAAATACAAGTTTCTTCTCAATATACAAAATGTATCACAGATACAACACAACAGAAAGAACGAGACAGAAGTTGGATAGATCACATCAAAATCATAATTCTACCAGGTGCTTGAAAACCACCTCATAAAAATATCAAGGTCTTCTCAAGAATGTATTTGTATGTCTAAATTGTGCATAGTGCATGTAAGTCTGCATCTGAGTCTAGTAGATCTCTTTAAATTCCATCTTTTCTTGAAATGTGGCAATCTTATGGCACCCAGTGGAATTATATGAGAGTTGGCATTAAAGGGAAACACGGAACTACCACCAACCTTATCCTGAGTTAGCAACAGGGGAAACAGTCATGGAAAAAAAAGACAAGACAAACATTTTAGGAAGAGAAGGGGATGATAACAACACCAGGAATAAGGAAATCTCCACAACATTATCTGACACAGCCAACACACACATAGAAGACATTAGAGTACAGGCAAGCCTGCAGTACACAACTTGTACAACAGGGGGAGCTCCTGATAGTTGTTGTTTTTGGACGCTTACCTGTAGTGAGTTAGCAGGACAGGATATGGAGAGCGGAGTGTTGGGTGAGTCGGAGCTGGTGGGGGAGGGCGTGGCATGGTAACCACGGTCACGCCCGGATACGTGCGTCAGCGACAGGCTTCGGTTCCGCAAACGGTTCTTCTTACTGAAGGCAGCTGTGGACGGAACAAAAAAAACTTACTGTAAATTCTGTTATTTTTTAGGTTTTGTGTAACTTGTTGAAAGTCATGATATTTTTACTGAAGGCAGCTGTGAACGGAAAACAGTAGGGTCATTCTACTGTACATTCATTTATTTATTTCAACATAAAACAGCTGGGTAGCCCATTCAGCTAGTAGAAGCTGCTTTCCAATGGGTCCCAGCATGCATTTACACAGGACAAGACATGATTACATTTAGTCAAGCGCGAAAAGGTAGACAATAGTCAAATAAAATCTGATGTGTCAAAACAAAAGCATGTCCTTAAATCAAAGTTGTCATAACATTTCTTTATCAAACAATAAAGTCAGTAGAGGTTTTTGTTTTGTTGCAAGTCAAATTAAAAATAATACTGTAGATGTATCATCTGTCTTTCATTTCCCAAGAAAGAGAAACATGAAATGTCACTCACAATGTCGCAATTAGCAATCGTTAATTCTAGAGTTTGATAACCAGTGGTCATAAAATCTGTTCACATAAATTTGCATTAAAGTTTAACAATCAGAAACTGTCCAACTCCACTGTAATGTCTACCATCTGTAAATGTTTGTATTTTACTCCCTAAGAAAAAGAAACATGAAATGTCACTCACACTCACCGATCGCGAGCTGGGCGGCTGCTCGCTTCTTCCGTGCGTCTGTCCGGCAGAGGCGTGTGCCATCCGCTGCGTTCGGCTTCGGCGTGCACGGCAGCGAGCCAGACAGCGACCGCGAGAGCTGTTTACCGTCCACCTTGTTTCCTCGCAACTCTGTAAACAAAAACAACAACCATAAACAAAACAAAACATTTCACACGTTTGTGATTGAAGTATTTGTTGTAAACTTATTATTTTATTCATGAATGTAAATTTCTTGCTGTTTCTGTGCACTATAACGGTGCTATAACACACATCCATCTACTCATTCCTTCATTCTTTCTATCCTTCATTCTCTCCCTCCATCTCTCCCGTACTTACTTGCAGTAGTGAGTAGTGCTGCTGCAGCACTCTGGGCCAGTTTCTTGCTGACTCTCCTGGCCCGGTTGTCGGCTGCCCGCTGGTACTGGGAGGGTGACGGCGTCACGGGAGAACCCTTCAACCTAAAATAAACAACAAACAAATAAACCCTTCAACCTCAAGGACCAACAAACAAATCTTTCCACCTAAAGGTACAACAACAAAAGGGGAACAACATAAGGGGGCCCCAAACAACCAAAACTCTCATGCTCAAACTTGTTGTAATGTCATTTGTAGGAAATCTCTTCTTGGAATTCAGTTGTCAGAAAACTGTGCCTAGAATTTATTTGTAGCAACTCTTCCCATAATCTATTTGTAGGAACACTCTTACTGGAATTCACTGGAAGCAAAACCAAAATCCAAAACAGAAAATACAAGTTCCAATGCAATACCAAAGAAAGCTGCTAGGCCCTAATCTCCAAGCAGATCATACGGTGGTATGGCAGTACCCATTGGCCAGAGGAGTGTCCAATATTAGCCACAGAGTGGCCAATGGATACTGTCTGGCCAATGGATACAGCCTGGCCAATTTGATACTGTCTTTCGAAGCCACAGAAACATCTGTTTGGAGATTAGCTAGGCCCCAAAAATCGAGCTTGACCCTCAAAGATTCTCAACAACAGTTAATGATAACTTACCTTTTGTTGGATTGTGAAGGTTTGGGCGTCGGGCGGTTTTGCCAGTCTCCGGTTTTCAGCAGTGACTGGAAGTGCACCGACAGGGGGATGTCTGCAGGATGGAACAGCACAAAGTTAGCACAACAGTAGCACAATAACAGCACAACAGCCAGTGTTCAAAATACCCATCTGCATTCTGCATATTGCGGAGAGATTTACGATATTGCAAAGAAAAATCTTACAACTTGCAATTTTGCATCATTAAGTTTGGAAGGTTGTAGTATAGCGACTTGTGCATTTGCAGAAAATGTTTTAATGTTAGCAGGAAACAGGAAACATTGAAATTTTGAATGAAAGCGCCCCAGGCGATATGTACCTCCTGGTTTAAGAAATAAAACAAACAAGCAAGCAACTTGCACAAAAATTAACAAAATAATTAGCAGTTTCTATTTCATGATTCAACTCAATTCATAACACGAGAAAAAAAATCAGTTGTCCCTAATGTCATATAACAGATTACGCCAAAAAGCAGCTGGATATGATTGTGGAAACTGTCAGATGTTTCAGCTAGTATCCACTACCTTTCGTCAGTGACTGAAATTTGTTGCTATAATTTTCTTTCAATGTAAATACATTCTTCTACTATCTGAAGAAGATAAAATAGACTCATAAAACATTACAACCAAAAATGAACCATTTGTTAATTTGTCAAAGATCATAAACAATTTTGAAGACGAATTTCCTGTTGTTGGTTATTAAATCCATATGGAGCTGAGTGATCAGCAATATGACATTTTACAGCTGGGTCTAAAAATAGAACAGCCTAAGGATAGTTGCCATGGTAACAGCGAATGGCATATCATGTTGATACGTTGAACATGTCCCAAATACCACGAGCAAGCTGCTCTTATAGATGCAAATTTGATAATGCTGAATTTTAAAAGGTTTTTGTGGTTTTCTCTGAGCAGTAGGCCAAGCGATGCATCACTTTTAAGTGTGAAATTTTGATGTGCCATTTTATCTATAGTCTTTTTGCATGCATGATAATTCCTCAAAACCATTTCATTGCAAACCATTACACACTTTCTCTGGGGGTGGTTCAAAATAAAATGGATCAAAACTGAAATGGAACGTTCATGTTCAATTATAATCTGATTTGTCCTGCTGAAACGAATCTAACCTTATTGATTTTTGTAACATGCACAGGGCCAAAGTAAGAAAACTAGCAAAAATTATTTCAAAAAATACCTAGATGAAGGTTAGACATTCAGGTAATGAGATACGCACTTTTTGTATCTTAGATTTTGAAAACTGTCAAATACTGATTTTGAAAACTGAAACAGACATTCAGTTTAAAATTCTGCCTGTTCCAGACGATATCTTTTCTGTCATAACATTTGGAAACTACCGACTTTATACTAACCTTACATACGCGAATACACAAGATACAGACATGATACAAAGCAGAAAGAATTTGCTTGTGCAATATAAAACAGCGCCCCCTACCTTGAGGGAATGACAGTACAGGATGGAATGATGGGTCCATGATGGCGACTCTTTCCACCTGCGATGACAGGTTCGGCTCCACCTTCTGCGCGTTGTTCAGCCGACCCCCGCACATCACGCACGGCGTGTTCGGCGGCGCGCAACCGCAGCGAACCGTGGACAGCTTCGACGCCTTGCGACATACCTGCCACATCCCGAACGTTCGCAACAACTTCCGCTTCCGGTAGCTCCGAACCGGTCGAGTCCTCGCGCACTGGCAGGTTAGATCGTTCCCTACGGTGGGAGGTGGCGTGGCAACCGCGTCTAGCCTGAGCTTCTTGTGCGCCGGGTCGTCTAAATCGGACAACTCGCTTTCTGCGGGAAACTTCGCCGCTCCGTCCACCAAACCGTTCATCGGTTTCGGGGCGGGGACCTTGTTCTTGGAACTGCTACCGCCGTTCCCGTTACTGCTGTCCCCCCCTGCGGTTGTTGAAGCGGTGCTTGCGACAGGCGAGGCTGTTCGAGGGGAGTAGCAGTTCCCCAGTGATTGTGTCAGCTTCGACGCCTGCTTGTCCACGTTGCTCAGCAGCTGGCTGATGTTGCACGGCGACAGCTGGCTACTTCTCTCCAGGTTTGCGATCTTCGCTTCGATAGGGGACAGTTTCCGGTTCGGCTTCGTCCTACTCGTCGTAAAGAACTCCTTCGGAGATTCGGGGTCCCCCAAGACGACCTGGCCCTTCGCGGCGCGTATCTGGCGAAAGATGTCGCTCTGTTGGCGGATTCGGTACTCCAAGTCCGAGACTTGCGCCTGAAGCCACGTCCAGCGCGACGCGATGGCAGCTCTGTCCATGGCCCACTTCCAGGTCGCACACTTGTGTCTGCAACAGAGGGAAAAACACGGAAAATGAGTTAATCAGCGATATCAATACAGAGTTAGAAATACCCATCTGCAGTCTGCATTTTGCAGAGACATTTTCAACATTGCAGAAGAAAAATTATGCTAGTACCTGCTACCTAACATTACTTAATTTGAGGAAAGTAGTAACTTCTAGGTGGGGCAACTTAAAATTCTGATGGGCAACCTAATTTTTGCCGAAGGTTGCCCACTTTTGCCAAAAGTATTTTGTACGCTGGCTGTTCTGTGACATTCTAACCTTTTCGCCCCATGTATTTTTGTAACACACACACCAGGTTACAGGTATGTCATGGTCTACTGGTTAGCAATCCACCTTCTTGACCACAAGGTCGATGCCTGCATTCCTGCCACTGTTCATCTGTACGCTATGCAAAGTGGTTTCAAATGCCCAGAACATATCAGACACTAGTCAATGGCTAACCCTTAGTAAACGCAATGGTTAGGTGGCAGGGCTCAAAATTCATTTTTGGGAATAGGTGCAAAACTTTTTTGGGTGTACCATACAAAATATAATAAGTAGAATGTCAGCAAAAACTATTATGTTATATTTCCAAAGAAAAGTACTACGACAAATTATGTTACACTTAGACGTTAGGAATATGCTGTTTACTATCATACATTTAACATCTACATACTGTACATCTACGAAAGTATTTGGGTGCACATGCACACAATACCTCAAGCCTAGGGTAGGCTAAATGATGTTCATTTATTTATTAATCTTGGATATATGACAGTTATGTGAAATCCCTTTTAGACAAATAAAGCTGATTTCCAAGGTAGTCCATGACAGATTAACAAGATATATTAACATAATACAGACTTAGGATGTTATAAATAATGCAAGTGGAATAAAATTCAGTTGTACAAACAAATTATCCTAAGTAAATGAACAATATGCAGGGCATTTGGCTGGAATTTCCTAATCACATCAAACTGTCAATAGAGATCCCATTCCATGTAATAATACGTCATACAATGTACCAGCTACAGTTGTTGAGCAATAAAGTTGATTTGATTTGATACTCTATAACATACTGGTATCATAACATAATATAAAACATTTCTCATGTTTATATCACCCTTTTTAACAACCAAATATACAATTAATTTATCACAGAAAGGGAAAAACATTTTGCATGTAAACATGCAAGTTACCTCTAATGTTTCAGTTTCAGTTTTTCTTTCTATGCCATCTATGTATTTGATTAACAACCCCCCTCCCCATTTAACGTCATTATCAATATACTTGCACACCAACTAGGGACAAATTATTTTGCATGCACTGTTGTTTTCTCCATCCCCGGACTAATAAATTGAACCCCCCCTCCTGACCAGGGTTGAGTCAGGCCCATGTGATATTCTATCGTCGCTAGGGATTACATCATCTATCATCGCTCTGATTGGCCAACAGGAGTGTCATGTAATCTATAGGGTGTATTACATGATGCCACCTGTTTTTACATAAATACGGTATGCTCTGCTTTCAACACTATTTTAAGGACTGTATGAAGTGTAATTTGTGTGTGTGTGTGTGTGTGTGTGTGCGCGCGTGTACTGCATAAATACGGTATGCACTGCTTTCAACACTATTTCAGCTACGGACTGTACAGAGTGGATTTTGTTGGTTTTCAGTTTTTAGGGAGTGAATATGGTTAGATTCATTGTCACTGTCTAGACTCTGGAGTCTGTGTGGGTGTCTTTGTGCATGTGCATGTGTGTGTGTGTACGCGTGTGTGTGCGAGTGTGAGTGAGTGTATGTCTTTGTGCATGTATGTGTGTGTGCATGTCTGGGTATGTCTTTGTATGTGTGTTTGTCAGTTTGTGTGTGTGTGTGTGCATGTATATGTATTTTGTGTGTGTGCTAGTGTGTGCCTGTGTATTGTTTCTGTGCATGCATGCGTGTGCGCATGAGCGTAATTATGTTTATGCAATAACTTTTTTGTATGTTCCATTTTTGTGTACTGACCTAGTTTGAAGGCAAGTCACAACATTACATGCATGGAAAAAATGTTTAAGAAAAAAGACAGAAATTTCAATCAATGTGTATTCCACAAACACAAGCCCCAAACCTTACCACACAGGCTTTTCCTGGTGTCAAAAACAACGATTCAAAACACTGTTTTATGGTATGTTTCAGACAATTAGCAGCTTCTGCATAATTCAGAGCTAATTAGCATGAAAAGAAAACCGTGAAAAAACAGGTTGGGGGTCTCCCAAAGACCTGGAAAAATGTCTGTGGCTTTCTAAGAAAACCCCCCTCTGCTTGGTCCTGCTCTGAAAAGCCAAAATATTAAACGTAAAAGACCAGCAACACTGGAAGAACTGGACCTAGAATGACATAACTTCTACTTTCATAGCTAAATTCATTCCTACCTTAAACCTGCAAATTTGCACAAAGGTTTTCGAGATTGCAGGAAAGAAATCACTAATTTAAATGATGATTTGAAACCAGGACAAAAATGTGAATGTTCAGGATGCATGTACAAAACATGAATAGAGAATAATACATTGCATTGATTATGTATTTTTCAGCCTTGCTATAAGCTAGCACACAACTAACAAGCTTCGTTTTAGACACTGGTGTACCATTAGTCTATATGTCAAGGCAAGCCAATATGATATATCTTAATAAATGCTCCCTTTCATCTAAAAATAGATGATAAGCAAGCACTCATAAAAAAAGCTTTCAAAGACTAACATCTAAACATAGCACAGGGCCTGTCATTATTCAACTTTTAGCAGACCCTTTCCCAAGCTCTCTAGAGTCAGACAATTTAATGCACAAGGGGCTGCCTGAGTGATTCTCACAACGTTCAAACTCTCATGTTAGCTTGAGGGGCTGATAGTGGACGTAATTTTCACTATCAAAGGAAAATCTCAGAAAGGATGTTATATTTTTAACACTATGAAAGGAACACGATTTGATCAATTGTATCCCCTAAAGACCTCTACTTTGATGCAAAATATTCAGCTGCTAATATTCTAATCTTGCTTTTAGTAGAAGTACTTTAGATTTCCTTCATTGACATCTACATAAAATGTATTACTAAGCTAAGAGTTGTTTTATCTATATACTTCCTATTTCAATTCAAAAATTTTCTTTAAATCCTTTCTTGAATTGAAGTGGCTATTTCGAACCCTGCATGTTTTATGATTTCACTTCAGTTTGATAGCCTGCACAGAAATCTTTCCGATATATTTGCACTCATACAAACACACACACACTTGCTACAATACACACACACAATGACACATCCACAAAGTTGATACAATACACACTTGCCACTCAGACACAATCTCAGCATATCTCATGAATGACACATACATAATCATTCAGCAGTCTAAAGTCCACCTCAAGGTGGTTTCAAACTCCAAACCTAATTTGAATAAGCTGCCCAAAGGAAAACAGATTTTCCCAATGCATAGAAAACTGGATACTCCAAACTGGCCAATATTTACATAGCTTGATCCTAAATAAACACAGGAAAAGCCAAAACAAAAACAACAGAGCAAACAATGTTTAGTACCGTATTTTGGAATTTTTTTCTGCCTGTCAAAAATACCAGACCTTGAGAGCTTGACACACCCAAATACGCCCAACACGATAGAAGCTACACATAAAAACGTAGCCAGCACAATAACTGGAATATTTTGAACAACAAAACATCAGATTTGTGTCCCTCTAAACCTGGTATCAAAACGGGTCTAAATCCAGCATTTATAATTTCATTAATAATACTACAAATCCTCTCATGGGACCACATTACAAATAAAACAAAGCCCTTATTAAAACCAAATTAGTTTTACTCAACCAGCAACATTCAGCTTTCGAATTAGAAGAGTTGAATTCTAAAGATTTCAAACGCATCAGCAATGTGTATATGGTACTGTGTATCTCCCCAAAACATGGTTTTCTCAGATAGCAAAAATATAGGACAATGATTATAATTGTCCAGATAAATTTTAGTCAAAGCTATGTCTTTCCACAGTTACAGCCATCCCAACTAAATACTAATTTCCAATATTCTTTTCAATATCAAACCATTCTATAATTTTTGCATTGTGAAAGTTGTAACATCTAAAAATATATCCAACTCTGCTTGTGGCATTGAATATCTGGAAATATAGCATGCTTTTCTGTTTATGTCTTTTCTGATCTGAGCTATTGTCTACGGCTAACGTTTGTCAAGAACAGGACAGGATACAGTATTGCTGTGTCATGCAAATATGCCGTCACATACCAGACAAAACCCTATTCAAACACTATCATAATGTTGTGTTTTCACTGCAACTTGGCTCGACAATGGCCATCACCATTCAGAACGACTTTTCATTCATAATTTATTACTATACAATCAGGGAAAGTTACCCTTGCTTGGTAGATGTACATGTTTCTGTTGTTATTATGCTCGACCATGGAAAAGGCTCAAAAGCTATAGGCAAGCATGCGAAAAAGGATGACGTTTGTTTGGATTTAGTGATCCTAAACTTCAAAAGCATTTTTAGTGCGCAAAACATGCATGTACAACTTTATACTTTCAATTGCTAAAAGGAAGATGATAAAGTTTCAATGCTGTATCAAAGCTGAAACCTTCTCTTTTACAATCTTGTGTGCATAAAAATTGAACACACAAATTTTGGCAAAATGCATTATTTCAGCTCGATTTAGAGTTTCATTTTCTGTACCTGGAGTGTTAAAATGTGTTACTCGTAACACAGTAGTTTTAGAGTTGGGAAAAAAATCAGTGCAAGACTGAAACCTTGTCTGGTTTTGGAGCCAAGGTCTTTTTTGTAGGACGCCGCAAACCTTTTAACCCAGATATTAGGTGTGGCTGTTTACATTTCAGGTAAACCTTATGTTTAATAATAACCACACTACTGTAGTTTCATGTTCTATTAATATTCAGGACGTGTTGCAGAAAAATAACATAGAAACACAACAGGCGCACTTTTACTTACATAAGCAAATATACTGGCATTGTTTCGCAGTAGCTTTTCATAGGTTTAGAATTTATAGAAAAATCACTAAGGCTTTATTTTAACTAAGACCTTTTCCAATATCAAATCTTTCTGCTGTTTCAAAATCACAACACTGCTAACTTATTTCCATATTAGAAGATGATAGAAAAATCTATTTTTGCATTTAAGACTAGTCTAGCGCCTAGTCTAGTACTTAGAATTACAAGAGTGAAACCACTTTTCTTCTGTTACAGTTTACAAATTTTCTACCTATAGCTACACCCTGCAACACCAATATCTTTCACAGGATTATGAAATGATATATAACACTCTTTCAGAATAAAAATGGCGCCCATAAAGACCCAGTAGCAAATAATATCAAATCAATACTTTCTAATATTCTCCCCGCCCTCCCGCTAAAATCGCTGGTCCCAAAGTGACAATGGATCAAAAATAGTTTTCATGGGTTGCGAAGCCTCATTTTTCTCCTGAGTTATATGGGTCAACATTACTGTATATCTTAGGAACATGAACGTGGGATGTATACACATATCACTAAGCCGTTTTATCAGAAATAACCGAGTAGAGTTTGCTAGTGTTTTATTGTAGTTTCTCAAGAATTTCACAGAAAATAGTACAGTCAGTTTGGTGAACGTGACATTTGGCAACCCAAAGCCATGCAAAATTTGATAAAATTTCCAAGATAACAAAATTATTAAAATTTACTGCGGTCGAGCAGAAACTGTAACAAGGTTGTGCAACACTCATTGTTATGCCACTGCATAGGGCAAGTCCCTACTTTTGTAGCTTTGAGAAAGACGAATTTGATCGAAAGATTGACCTTGGATTTCCATCAGCTGCAATTATCATGTTCTCAATACTGCTATCGAGGGAGAGAGTCACAAGGTACAGATTTGAGACTGTCCTAACGGTCACTGACATGACTGGTCACTACCAGACAAATATAGTAGCAGGCCTCATGTATCAAAATCAGTCACCAACCCTACTCTGGCCCAACCCTACTCTCCAAGCAGAGGTTTGGGTTTTGGCTTACTTCTGGTGTGTTTTTAGGCTTTTTTATCAGGCTTTCTTTTTTGCCAACTCAAGCATATAAAAGATAACAGAGCAAAGAAGATGGCCTGATAAAAAAAGCCTAAAAACACCCCAAAAATAAGCCCAAACCCAATCGTAGATGCTTGGAGAGTAGGCCAACCAAGCAGAGGTTTGGGTATCGCTTATTTTTGGTGCGTTTTTAGGCTTTTCTATCAGGATTTTTTTTATTGGGATGGCGTAAAAAAAGTGCAAAAAAGAAAGCGTGATAAAAATGCCTAAAACACGCCAAAAATAAGCCCAAACCTCTGCTTGGAGTATATCAACATCACCCTCCTTTTTCCTGGGCCAACCCCACAGTGAGTGACTCACACCCAAACAGAAAGTGGGTCACATGGGGGTTTTGTTGACCTTGTTGTGTGAAAATAAGCATGACAACATGTCCAGACGGGTGCGAATTGGTGTCCCCCCAACAGAGACAAGGTAGTACCAACACGCTATCTCATACAGGTTTACTAGTTGGGTGGGTTGTAGTTGTACAACAGCTAGACAGCCAGTAGTGGCAATAGCTATTTATAGCTATGACTCAGCTCAAAAACCACGTGTGCAATATACTAAACTAACCGAAGCCAACACGCCCCAAAACAACAGCAAGCTGGAATAATAAATACAGGGAAATTCACTAGTAGCAAAGAGCAGCTAGGCCAGTCTGCAAGCCTAACTATATTACCATATGAGTAATCTGACGTAATACTGGGTTCACTGTGTTCGTGAGTATACATATTACTGTATCTCACAAAATTGTAGCCACCTCTTCATTGTAAATTTTGCATGGATATATAATGATGTAATCCCCTTATACTTTATATGTTCTCCTGCTACGGATAATATGAAGAATAAGTATTTTCCGAATTTTAAATGTCTACCTAACATGCATCCCTGTCCTAGTAAAAATACCAAGCTCGTAAACTTAAATGGTTAGGCAGTAAAACTGTACAAACCTATGAAGCTCCTGGTACTAATAAGAACGAAGAAAACTACCAACGTCCTAGTACTAAACGAAACAGTCTTCCATCTACATTTTATGTAGGATAGCTGACATTATTTTCAAGGCTAAACTGATATCAGCAAAGCATCAGCTTTGCATAGTTTATAAAAACAAGCAGAAAAGGGGATTCCCCATGTCATAAATTCACAACATAAATACACACCTTCAAAAAAGACAGGAAATTAAAGATAAACACGAGGGGAAATTGGATACTTACAGGGGAAAATCATGCAGCACTGCATTGCTATCGGCAACCGCATCCTCCTCCTCACTCTCTCCTCCTGAGCTGCTCTCGGTTGCGTCCGAGTCGATACATCTCTCCAGGTGCTTCAAGTTCGTCTGAAGACGCCCCGTAACGTCGGTAACTTCCCCGGATAACTTCCTTCGCCACGACCCTTCACTGCCCGGACTCTGACCCTCGAACGGTGGCGTTCTTGTTGCTAGGAGACGCTGGGCTAGGAGCGATGCGCTACGATGGGCGGGCTGTGGCGGTGTGCTGTCACCTGCGCCTACCTGGCTGCTACCTGTCGAAACCACCGTCTGGTCCAGTTCCGATTTCACCTCGACTTTGGAGGAAGAAGAATCCAACTGCGGGGGCAACGCTTGGTCTAAGAAAGCTCCTAACTGAACCCTGCTATGCGAAGCTGCTTGCCTGCATTGGAGTTTTCGAAGTCGCCGCTCTAGCCGTTCGGACCTTCGCTGGAGCGCGAATTGTCGCTCTTCTACGTCCGACAGTCTACCTGTGAATATCGCTTCCCTTAGTTCTAGGTTCAAGCCCTGGGATGGTGGTGGTGGTTGTTGTTGTTTCCCACATGTGCACTTGCTTGTTGTGTCATTCTGACTACTGTTACTACTACTAGTACTATTACAGTTTGCTACATCCTCACAGCTACACTCACATTTACTATTACTACTACTACTACAGGCTGGGTCCTCTTTACCAGGGTCTTCTGTGTGATCGGATCTGCTGTTTTCTGCATGTTGTGAACTACTTTCCTGGTTTGTAGAGGTGGAATTTTCCGTTTTCTGGGAATTACTAACGTTGGTTGGACTTCCTGACTCGTTGTTGCACGTGGTTTGTGTCAACGGACTTTGGGTCGGAGACGTGTTGGAGTTTGCAACACTCATGGTTGGACCTGAACAGATCGTGGACTTCTGATCGGCAATCGGAGGCGTGTTGAGAGGTTTTGACTTCAGGATCATGGAATTGGTGGAGTTTAGTTTCAGTCCTACAGGCAAACTCGGGGCTGTGCCGTCAGACAAGCCCCGATGGATGAGCTCTTTGCTAACGGGAAGAGGGAAGAGGGAAGTGGGAAGAGTTGTCCTCGCGGGCAAGGACGCCCTGTCGCCGTCCGGTTCTCCGTTCACTCTCGGTGACGAATCCAGGCTGGCTAGCTCATCCACGGGACCGTGCTTGGTGTCCAAGCGGGTGAGCTCGGCGCTGGTGTCGGGATCAGCCCCCGGTTTGAGGCCGCGGGGCCCGGGCTGAGTCGCGGCGGGAGCTTCGGTAAGCGCCGGGGCCATCGCAGCCATGCAGCTCGGGCTCAGCGGCGACGGCGCTTGGAGCCGGGTTCCCTCCGCATCGACACGCTTCTGTGAGGCTGCAAGAAGCACAAGAAATGCTGTCAGGCCCGAAATGTTGGCTGTCTTGCCCTGCAGGCCGCCACTAGAGCCCGCCTTCCCACCGTAATGTTGAACTCTTCCACTTCACTCCCCCCAAAAAATTCGCCCCAAGCACGTGACCGACGTTTTGATGTCGTCCAATTTTTAATTTCCCGGCCGCCAACCGGCAACTTCTGCTCGATCTAGCTCACCTCTGAGGCTCTCTTCCACTCCCAGTGCACCGCGGACGGAAAGGTTGACTCTTTCACAGGAAAATCCCACGAAGCAAGGGCCACAATTTCCCAGATTTGACGCAGAAAAAAATAAAATTGTACCGAGACCACGTGACCAGGGGCCACGTCTCTTCGCACAAACACACCGCTCTGGCCCAGTGGAACCACCCAGTTCACACCAACTTTCGGCGACGATTTCTCCACCTCAAAATCGTCGTAATCACCTAAAACTTCGGGAGGTTGTAGCTTGGGTCGTTGTCTTCCTCGCGACGATGTTTTTGTGAGGAATCTCAGGAAGCCTTCAGAGAAAACTCGTCAGAGAAACATCGGTAGCAATAATGGCGGACATCCCGAGGTGGAGAAGACCTCACAACAAAAAATGTCTGCACTCCCAATTTATAAGCAATTGCGTCAATACCCAGACCCCCCTATACGCGCTAATACGTGATTGGTCGGGGTGATTTAATTTTGGGCGTTCCAGTCTGTGTCAACCTCCCCCTGAAAAATGTTGATTTAACCACTACTATTTGATTACAAAGACATAATTTTCCAAGCTTTATGGTAAAATTGTGTGATATTATAATTCACTACGTTAATACTCTAAAATACTACACCTTTACCGTAAAATAGCGTAGAAATCGACACAGATATACCCAAAACGTCAGGAGTACACGTCATTGACAAACGCCGTGAGTACTTGAGAGAAAATACAACTTGATCAAAAAGTTATTGTCAAAATGCCTCGGTTTTCTGTGTTCTAGAGCTCTTCAGAATGACACCAACGTCCCAATTGTGGATAAATAACAATATTTATAGTACTTTGTCATCATATGGCGTCACAGATCAAATAAAAATGCACCAGGCTCGATAAAATTTGAAGGAAACGAACAGATGTAAACAAAGGGGTGGGTCAGTCTGCACCCTTTCCCGCGTAAAAATCATATGACTTGGCGCCAAATCTTATGAGCGCCACATTTATATTGTCCCCACAAAGTTGACCGTCCAAAGTTCTTAATTGTGAACTTTGAGTGCCCACTGTGCGTGAAAGGAAGGGTGAAAGGTTTTTAACATAAAGAAACGTGATTTTACCATCGCAAATTCTTTGTTTCTGAAATTTTCCATTGTTCTCAAGTTATCAAAACAAGGACATAACAACCAACAAGTCATCTAAATCTCGGTAATTTTTGAAGTTGTTAAAACCAGTTAATGTAGGATTCTCTTTCATTCTTAATAAAAAAACAAATCAGTAATGACTTTCAAAGTTTCGAGTAAAAAAAGAGACTTTTGTTAATATTATTATATAAGTTTTCATAACATAACATAGTCCAAAGAGTCAGAAATGTTTAGATTGAAATAAAGTAGGACAGATGAACTTAATTTGCCCAGCATCCTGTGAACAGACTTCTTCCAAGAAAACAGGAAAAAACATTATAGTGGATGATACCATTATCTTTATGATTTGACTTGATAATTATAAAGGGTTTGTTCGCAAGGAATCAGTTTCTCCAAGCAAGCAACATTTTAGTTTTACTCATAAGCGAAAAAGATTAATTTTAGATCCTCTTTTATTTTCAGTTGCCTCAGACTGAGTGTGTCATATTCTTTTACCAAATGAGAGGGTCTGCATGGGGGTTCTGTAAATGCTGTATACAAAATTCAGGATCACTTATGCACATTATGCTAAATTCAGGAAGTCAATTACAAAATATGTAGCCATCACATAATAAATTGCAAGGATAAAAAAAGTTTTCCCTACAAATTCTGGTACTGTAAACGAAAATTGCATCTTGTCTAACCCTTACAGAAAACCCTGCAGGCAGTCCTCTATATAGCCTCTACCAGGCTTCGGGAGGTGACTGGAAAGAGTAGAATATCATGAAAGTTCATCTGTGTTGGTAGTAATCATAGTAAATCGTTAAAATTTATTCCAACACACTATTTACAGGGATCAAATTTTCAGCGACCACTGTCGCCTTCATCAGGATAATTAATGAAAGAGTAAGGAAAGAGTAGAAATTGGCCAAATAGAGAGATAACATGCCAGAGAAATTGGTCCGCTAGAGAAAACAGTTTGCCGCACCCAGGCTCTACTATTTCCAGCTGCCTCCCAAAGCCTGGTAGAGGGCCTGCAAGGGGGGGTAGTGATTACGAATTACGCAAAATTTTCGCCGCCTATTACGAATTACGTTAAAGTCTCAGAGCTGATTACGACTTTACGATTTGCGACTAATGTCCAATTACGAATTAGGTTGATTTTTGCGGAGGCTGCCTACGAATTCCGAAGTCTAAAACGGCCTGATTATGCCTTACAAAAAAGGACTTGCAGGCCCTCCTGGTAGAGGCTACCCTACATAACCAATGGTATAGTCCTGTGGTTTTGGCTTCAGACAGAGTATGGGGAAGTGGGTAACATAACGCCTGGTGGAATGAGGAAGCATTTGCCACGCCTTTGTTGCAAAGTACACATGTACAAAGGTCCTATTGTACGTGAACCCACGAGTTGTTACCACTGATTTACATCACATCTTATGAGTGACTTGCTATTTTTCATTCGGCCAATACACCAATTGTCAAACAATTCTAAACCAGAAAAGAAATATTGAAATGAAAACAAACAAAAAGCAAACCATATTTTGTTAGTTTGTTGTATGGCGAGCCAGTCTTTGGCATAGATTTAACATTACATCACTTCTTTTGAGTGACTTGACATTTTTTTATTAGGCTGTACCAACTGTCAAATGACAATTTCACTAGGATATGCTAAATCTATACCAGAAAATAAATATTGAGATGAAAACAAACAATAAAAGTAAACCATATTTTGTTACGTTTGTTTCACAACAAATTCAATGAAGGAAGAAGTCATTTATAGTAACACAATGTCATCCTAATAATCAAATTTCAAAAGCCCAAACCTAAAACATTGTATGTGTTACTGAGTACATGTATAATACATCTACTCAACTGTTAGCTGACACCAGGTCTCACGTTTCTGATGTTTGCCAATGTAAAAAGGCCACAGCTGAAGTGAAATATAAATTTGCTCAACAGTCGAAGGAGAAAATTGTCCAGGCAAAACAGGTGCTTTGTATATGGACTATTCCATTCTGAGATTACGGGGGTGGGCAGGTTGGCAGGACTTTGTTCAAACACCTTCATACATAGATGGGTATCTAAAAATGAAAGGACTGAAAAAATAATCCAACACGGAGACAGATCCATTTTGAAATTTCAGACTGAATCAGAAGGGAAAGCAGACTTTTACTGTCTTCATAAGATTTTTGCACGGGTGTGGAAAAAGCGGACCACAAATTAGTATTTTACGATGGTCAATATTGACTAAGTAAAAGAGGCCATATATATGACAGAAAAAAAAGCAGCTCTCCTAAAAATAAAAACAATAGACACAAAAAAGTACTAATTAGTTATTGAAATTGATTATCAGAATGTGAATTGTCTGTCAGGATAAGTCTGACACTGTGGGAGAGGGAAGAATTCTTGAGTCTAGCCGAGTTTCCTTTTCCTGTAGGGTAGAAATCCTGGAAGAAAACAGTGGAGAAAAGCGCTGCTGGCTTGTACACACATCCCCTACTGTGTTAGAACTGTTACTGGGACAATCTCACAATACAACTGTTGTTTACAGGCATGTTCATTGTATCATTGTAGAAAATGAAACTGCTGCAAATGATTTTTTTCTGAGGCCGTAATATCTTCTGTTACATTGATTTTCTGGAAAAAAATGTGGGAATTTCACTCTTCAAAAATTCTGTTTATGCCTAATGGGGATTTTTTCTGAAGTCTTAAGATTTTCTGTAACAATTGGGTTTTCTTTAAAAAAAAACATGGAAATTTTGGTTTTCATATTTTTTAAAATTCTGTTTTATGTTGCCTCATGACCTAAAATTCAAGATTGGACAAAATATGGGTAAGTTTGTCCAGCCAGAGTCCTTTTCAGTAATATTTCAGAACTGAAGAAAAGATTAATTAAACAAATTGTTGAAATTGTTAATGGTTAAAAAAACCTCATCACAAAGCAACAATAAAAAATTTAGAAACTTGAAGCCAATGAAAGATTCACTGTACAATTTATTCTCAATAACATTGATGATGATCCTATATAATGACCTTGCATAAACCAAATCCACATATGAACACTGCATCTCAAGCAATCAATCCTTGAATGTAAAACCTTCTGTTATCTAAATACTATGATAGGATAATTTAGAGCTTACCTTTTAATCCTGTTGGAAGGCGAAGTCAGTGTGTTAGAGTTTTTCTCACAGACATCAGTAGCATAATTACATGTGGAGTCTGAAGGATGATGACACAGGCACATGGTTTTTGCAACACACACAACATCACCATTTAGGGCATGATGACACCCAGGCATGTCATTGAGAAATTCTCTCCTCTAAACAAGTGGAGACTTGCAGCTGGTGAAATACAGTTTGTTCTTGCATTATACTTGCATATTAGGCAAACAAACGACCACTCAAGGCAAAACTGCAATAAATACAAAAATACAGCAAAAGCCAGCTTATTCAAAGAATAATTTCGTCAAATTCTGTAGAAATGTCTTATTTAGATCATTATTTTTAAAAGAGATGCAGCATTTAAAATTGACATTTGAATTTGGAAACTTGATTATTTTGCCAGCTTGTGAAAGACAATGGAATGTCACTTTTTGCTTTAATTTTCTAAAGATTTGTTAGAAGTTCCTACTTTAAAATTTCCTTCATATGAATCACCAAAGAGCAATTGTATGGTCCAATAGCTTTTAGTTAATGATGTTTTCGCTGCCAGTTAGACAAGCTCCAGTTAAAGATGTTGTGTTTTCGGTGTCCTTAGACAACCCCTAGTTGATGTTGAATTTTCTGTGTCCTCAGATGACCTCTACTTGAAGATGTTGAATTTTCGGTGTCCTTAGATGACCCCTAGTTGACGATGTTGCGAGCGATGAGTTCCTTCATGATCTCGTTGCTTCCTCCGTAGATGGGCTGGACACGAGAGTCGACGAACGCTTTAGCGATGGGATACTCCCACATGTAGCCCCAACCTCCGTGCATCTGTAGGCACTGGGTAGCCACACGGTTCTGTAGGTCCGAGGCCCTAAAACGAGGGGAAAAAATACATTATAAATCTAATTCAAAGTAAATCTGAGGATAGAGGCAAATGGTGAGCTACCATCAAGCCCCAGCAACATAGTACAAGCACGTCTAACCCTCCAAACACTGGGAACAACAGACGATAAACTGGATAGATAGAAGGTCAATGACCAGAACCAGACGTCTGTCACTATGGTAACTGGTGTTGGGTTACATCATGTTGCAATTTTATAGCAGGAGGGACCTAGACTCCTGTCTGACCATATACTAGTATCTGAATGTGTTTGGGTAGGAATTATCAGAGTAGACTGAATGTGTTTGGGTAGGTAGGTATTTGCGTAGGTAGGTATTTGCGTAGGTAGGTATTTGGGTAGGTATTTGGGTAGGTAGGTAGGTATTTGGGTAGGTAGGTAGGTATTTGGGTAGGTATTTGGGTAGGTAGGTAGGTATTTGGGTAGGTAGGTAGGTATTTGGGTAGGTATTTGGGTAGGTAGGTAGGTATTTGGGGTAGGTAGGTAGGTATTTGGGTAGGTATTTGGGTAGGTAGGTAGGTATTTGGGTAGGTAGGTAGGTATTTGGGTAGGTAGGTAGGTAGGTAGGTAGGTATTTGGGTAGGTAGGTATTTGGGTAGGTAGGTAGGTATTTGGGTAGGTAGGTAGGTATTTGGGTAGGTAGGTAGGTATTTGGGTAGGTATTTGGGTAGGTAGGTAGGTAGGTAGGTAGGTATTTGGGTAGGTAGGTAGGTAGGTATTTGGGTAGGTAGGTAGGTAGGTAGGTATTTGGGTAGGTATTTGGGTAGGTATTTGGGTAGGTATTTGGGTAGGTATTTGGGAAGGTATTTGGGTAGGTAGGTATTTGGGTAGGTAGGTAGGTAGGTAGGGGTATTTGGGTAGGTAGGTAGGTATTTGGGTAGGTAGGTAGGTACTTGGGTAGGTATTTGGGTAGGTAGGTAGGTATTTGGGTAGGTAGGTAGGTATTTGGGTAGGTATTTGGGTAGGTAGGTAGGTATTTGGGTAGGTAGGTAGGTATTTGGGTAGGTATTTGGGTAGGTATTTGGGTAGGTAGGTAGGTATTTAGGTAGGTAGGTAGGTAGGTATTTGGGTAGGTAGGTAGGTAGGTAGGTAGGTAGGTAGGTAGGTAGGTAGGTAGGTATTTAGGTAGGTAGGTAGGTAGGTAGGTAGGTAGGTAGGTAGGTAGGTAGGTAGGTAGGTAGGTAGGTAGGTAATCACCAGAACTTGGCCATGGAGGCAGTGTTGGAGTCCAGACGACCCTGGTTGTGTAGCTCCAGACACTGGTCCAGAAACGCCCGACCCACACAGATGTCTGTCTTTATCTCTGCCAGCTTGTGTTGGATGGTCTGGAAAAGGCACAGCAAAACTTGGCTTCATCTTCTAATCATTATAGAATTTGTAAGCAACCTAGGCTATACAAAAACACCTGGTCTTTGGGAAACACAGTCTACACAACTTTCCTGACTCCACCTGGTTGCCAAACCTATTATAGCTCCCGAGTCCTACATCCTCTCCGCATATAGGATGTAGGACTCGGGAGCTATATAGGTATTGTAACTGGGCATCGACTCCACCCAGGTGTAAAACAGGTTCCTGACTTCAGTTGGGGAGGTAAAATGCAGTAGAAGGAGAGGGATTGGCTCTGCCTTTCAATACTGTGCCCTAGATGAACAGTGGATGAACAACCTACTGCTGATACAGACTCAAAAAGGCTACAGGACTCCTTTTACCTCTTTGTACCCATCATCTGAAGTCATAACAGTCTTGCTGAACTTCAGTTGGGGAGGTAAAAGGCAGTGGAAGTAGAGGGATGGGCTCGGCCTAGCTACCAATACTGTGCCCAAGACACACTACTGATACAGTCTTAAAAAGGCTACTTTTACCTTTACCTTTCTTTACTGCTGTAAAAATGCATAAACCATCACCTGAAGTCTTGAGACCGTCTTGCCGAAAGCCTTCCTCTCCTTGACGTAGTTCCTGGTCTCCTCAAACATGAACTCAGACGAGGCGATCCCCATGTCTGCGATGAGTAGCCGTTCCTGGGGCAACTCCTGCACAAACAAACAGCCAAGTAGGTAGGGTGCTTGTCTTGCACTCGGTAGGTCGTGAGTTCGATCCTCCGCCAAGTCATACCAAAGAGTTTAAAAATGGTACATACTGCTTTCTCTGCTTAGCACTCAGCATTTGGGAACGAGTATGGGGGTTAAACACACGCCACTACCAGTAGAGTGGACTAGCCCCCTGATGTAGTGATTGCACTGATGTGTGGCCCAAGGGCTACAGAAATGGAGATGGACGCTGCCCTATGTGTCACTTGATGCAGAAAGGAACTCACTTTTTGAGACAAAGTCACAAACAAACAAACAAACAAACCTGCATGAGGTAAACAAACCCCCTGTTCTCCTGACCCAGCAAGGCTGATGGAGGCAGGCGGACATCGTCAAAGAACAACTCTGCCGTGTCCTGAACAATAACAACAACAGATCCATGTAAATAAATAACATTCCTTGATAAAGACTGGAGTTGGACAGTTGAAAATTTGGGTACTTCCCATTTTTTATGTTGATTCCCTTCTAATCTTAGCCGGTGCCTAAAGGCCTCCACCAGACCTTTCTACGGGAATACGGATTGTAGAATTCGGCAAAAAAGAGAGTAAAATTGGCCAGGGGAGTCCGGTCGCAAAAGGTTGGTTCTTTCCCTCCTAACTGCGCGGCCAGTCCAACCCCAGGGCAGCCAAACTCCCCTGGCAAATATTCTCCTTATATATAGCCAGCGTAGTTAGTCTGGTAGAGACTACATGTACATACCTGAGCCTTGAGTCCGATCTTGTCGAGTTTTCGTCCCTTCTTGAATCCCTCCACCCCGTCCTCCACCAGAAAGAGGCTGATGCCGTGTGCGGCCGACTTGGCCTGCGGATTGGTGATCGCCACGACGATGGTGACATCAGCCATCCAACCGTTCGTGATAAACACCTGTAAACAAACAAACAAACAACATTTACATCAATCATGAAAGTTCATCTGTGTTGGTTAAAACTTTTGGTCCAACACAAAAAAATTCTCTCGACTAGAGCTTTCAACAAGTCTACTGAGGAAGACCAGAGTGACTGGTCAAAAGCTCTAGGTGTGAGAATTTTTTTGGGATCAAAAGTTTTAACTTTAAATATGTACAACTATCAACACAGATAAACTTTCATGATAACATCAGTTTGCTTTTAGATAAAGCACAGTAAAGTAAATTTTTAACACAAGTCTGAGTTTATTCAGATCCACAATTAGCTTCCATCAAAGGCTACCATCCCAGTGGTCATTTAAGTACATCAGAAATACCTCTGTAAACACATGATCTATCCTTTGCACATACCTTACTGCCATTGAGGATCCAGTCATCTCCATCCTTTCTAGCGTTGGTTCTCACACCCTGCAAGTCACTGCAGAAATACAGTAATCAGTGCTGCCCTCTGGAGGTAACTATTGGTACTGCAGCCCCAATAACATGGCAGTGACTTTTACAGACCCTGCTTTTGGCAGGCTGCAATATTTTTGTCCTTCCTATCACTCTGGAGCATACATAACTGAGAACATTACAGTTTCTTTGAACAAGTTAGTTTTATCACTTTCAACAGACAGAAGGCAGTGAGGAAAGAAAAAGGAAGGTGGAAAGGAGGGAAGTCAGGAAATGAAGGAATAAAAAACACATTAGTATACTACATGTAGTATACAAAACTGAGGACATTAAAGTTTCTTTAAACAAGTCAGTTTAATAACTTATAATGGAAGGAAGAAAGGAGGACAGGAATGAAGTAACGAAAGAAGGGTGAAAACACCGACCTGCCAGCTCCCGGTTCTGTCATCGCGATCGCTCCGATCTTCCGACCAGCCGTCATGTCAGGGAGGAACTTCTCGTGTTGGTCCCGCGAGCCGTACTTGGCGATGTAAGGCATCACGATATCAGTGTGCAACGCAAACCCGGGTCCGCTGCAGTTCGAGTATGACCTGCAAGGGGGCAGCAATACATAACGTCAGAACTTCTCGTGTTGTTCAAGCGAACCGTACTTGGCGATGTAAGGCATCACGATATCAGTGTGCAACGCAAACCCGGGTCCGCTGCAGTTTGAGTAGGACCTGCAAGGGGGCAGCAGCACACGTCAGACCGAAGTTTCTTGTTACAGTACTTCCAAATGCCCCTACATTTCCCGAACATGCTGCTAGGGGGCCCAAACTTACGTCAATTATTCCCATGTTCAAGAGCTACCTAACATTCAAAATTCGTGACCCTAGCGTGTCCAGATCAGGAGATATCAAAACCGGAAGTCCAGCTGCAGTACCATAACAAGCTGCTAGCGATTTGATCATATCATTTTTAGGTCTCACCAAGACCTACCTACATGTATCAAGACAATCCATCTAAGCCTTTTCACACACACACACACACACTGTCACACACACACACACACACACATGTACACACACACACACATACACACACAAACACACACACACACACACACACACACACACACACACACACTCACATACATGTACACATGGACACCAATGAAAACACAATCTTCTTGGCAAAGGTAAAAACAACTTTTAAGACAGGAAATAAATGAAATAACTGAAAGTTTCCTCACTGTTCCTCCCACATGACAGCTGAGTACAAGACGTCTGCTCCGATTCCGCCCAGTTCCTCCGGAGTGTTCACTCCCAGCAGGCCTTGCTCTCCTGCCTTCAGCCACACCTCACGGCTTACCTGCCCGTCTTTCTCATACCTGTCAATCAATCAATGAACTAGTCAATTAATAATCAATGAAGCCACACAGGCCAAACTGGTTGTGTGACAGGCTGAATAAAAGTTCTAAACGGAAACTGTGCGGCTCCAGATGTCTTACTGAGGGACGACTGCGTGTGCGAGATGTCAGTTACTGAGTTAGCCTGAGGAATGAATCCCCTAAACTAAAATAATATTATAGTACTTACTATCTACTATTTTTAGGTTTGAACAGTTTTGAGATCCTTGAAAAACAACTTTTAAAGTCCAATGTATAGCTACGTACTGTGTGTGGTTAGGCAGGACCTCCTCTGCCCAGAACCTCCTGGCGCTGGCCCGGTAGATGTCGTGTTCCTCCTGGAAGATTCTCCGCGTGCCGATGTCCATCAAGGTCGGCGCAGAGGTCGTCTCCAGCCGGAACATCTCCATGGCAACGACCTCCTCCGGCGCTCCGGTACTCCGACATCTGGTAAATAAACAAACAAACAAACAAACACATCGATGAAGGTTAGACATCCAGGTAATAAGATACGCCAATCAGTCATGTAATCATAAAAAGAGGACTTGTTTGGGACAGAAAAACAGTTGTAGATTCTTATGTATTATAATTTCTAAACTCTCTTCTAAGATTGACCCATGTTAAACACTAGGTCAATATTATAGCTCATGTTGCGCGGGTTTTTAGTCAGAATGAGATAAACTATTACCAAAGGTATGTGCGTTTGCATGGAACATAGGTCGGAATATTAATTAGGACCCCTCCCGTTAGTAAATAAGAGTTTCAACCGAGAGTACAACCGGTTTCAGAAAAGTTCATTCTCTAGATTTAGATTGGTGCTCAAAACATCAACGAAAATCTCCCGCTTCGTGCAACAACCCTAAATATATCAGTGTTCTTTCTCTATGAAGAGTTTTTGATGATTGCGTATGCCAAAATACTTAGATCGTCAGCTGGTAAGGTTAGGCGGACGAAACCATCGGTTCCCGAAAATGGGTAAACTTGGTCCCAGCTAAATCAGACGTTGATTAACAAAACAGTCTTTCGAGTCTCTTACTGCAAATAAATAATACAGTTATACAATAACAATACACTAAACTTAAGGTAATGTCATTACTTGTGATACATTACTAGTAGATAGCAAATGGATAGGAATTTAATATACGTATCCCCACAAATCTTGAATGGTTCGGTCGTAAACACAGGCACTACGGCTATCCCCTCTCCTACCGCCAAACTTTTCGCGTTTTCCGCAAATCCACGCGACCAGAAAACGACACAAAAACTTCCCCAAACCTGTACAGTTGTGTGGATGAGGCTACGGGAAGTCGGCAGCAGGAACTAGCAGCAATATGGACACGACGAGACAAAACTCCGGACAGAACAGTTCGTACAGCCCCCGCCATCTTGGCCGACCTTGTCAACTACTTTCAGGGACCGTCCAAAGTCTATCTTAGGGGAGGGGGCAAAGTTCGGAACCGTGCACCGCTTGAAAAAAACTATGTCTACATTTAGCAGAAATGTAGACATAGTTTTTTTCCAAACCATAATCTTTAAATTACAGAAAATTAAAAAAAAAATGCAAGGTTATATGTTACACTTCATGAACATCCCCCGAAGCAATGCTTGGTTTGCCCCCAAGTTCAACCCAGTTGGAGCGGTGTATTGTGGGAAGTAAATGTGGGCAGGGAGCGCAACATGACCACAATGCACCTGGGTATTCTGAACTATTCAAAAAGTTTCTCTTCAATGTTGCAAAGGTTTCAAAGATACAAAACCAGGATTTAACAAACGAAAACAATGAAATCAAATTTTTAATTCTGTGAAACTGGGTTTTCGTTCAAATTTTCTCCATTTTCTGTGTCTACATGTCTATTCTCTAGACCTCTTTTAACCTGTCATTCTGCCTGTCAATCTCTTCAAAACCCATGTGCCGTCAACCTACTTTGTCCGGACAAGCAACCACCCAAAACAATACTACCATACCCAAAGTTTTAGAAAATCATTGGAAAGCCACAAACTCAACCAAATAACACCATTTATTCTTCTTTTCTAATAAATATACAAACATTTTGTGAACTTACAGCAGGTGTAGTTTGCATGAATATAATAAGTTCAGCAAGCAATACATGTACATGTTAGCATAGAACTTTTGTCTCAAAATTGTCTATATAAAAGAATACAGCATCTTGCACATCTCAAAAGAAAAATACAAGGTACTTACATATATTGCATAAAACTACGGATATAATTACTACACTTTTAACTATGATATAGATATTTAACATTCGATTACATAGTCTAGTATACTACATTGAAGGGATGTTACCTCAATGTTATTACAGATGTGAAATTTACAGACATAAATTCTTTTCATTTACCCGGTATTACACTAAGGCTTACACCTTTGCTTTTAATACATAACAGTATTGTATGTGTAAAAAAACATACATTTATACGACATTTTACAGCCTAAAAAATGACAGTCATTGAGGATATTGCAGAGTTTGCTACTGCTTTTTGTAACATAAAATTCCCTTCAACACAAATAAATGCATGGTAGAAAGCCAGCTTTTTCCAAACTAAAAAGAATAAAACCATATAATACAAACAATACAAGGTTAAAAAGGCATAGGCCTGAATCAAGCCTAATGCAGCATTGTATTTTTGATGTCCTTAGATGACCTCTAGTAGAAGATTTTAGCTGTCCTCAGATGACACCAAGTTAAGGACGTTTAAGGTGTCCCCAGATGACCTCTACTTGAAGATATTGAACTTTTATTGTCCTCAGATGACTCCTAGCTTACGATGTTGTGTTTTTTGTGACCTCTAGTTGACGATGTTGCGAGCGACAAGTTCCTTCATGATCTCGTTACTTCCTCCATAGATGGGCTGGACACGAGAGTCGACGAACGCTTTAGCGATGGGATACTCCCACATGTAGCCCCAACCTCCATGCATCTGTAGGCACTGGGTAGCCACACGGTTCTGTAGGTCCGAGGCCCTGTAAGGGGGTTAGGGAACACACAGAAACACTGTTAACACATGGCTTTAGCGATGGGATACTCCCACATGTAGCCCCAACCTCCATGCATCTGTAGGCACTGGGTCGCCACACGGTTCTGTAGGTCCGAGGCCCTGTAAGGGGGTTAGGGAAAACACAGATACTGTTAACACATGGCTTTAGCGATGGGATACTCCCACATGTAGCCCCATGATTCTGTAGGTCTGAGGCCCTGTAAGGGGGTTACGGAACACACAGAAACACTGTTAACACATGGCTTTAGCGATGGGATATTCCCACATGTAGCCCCATGATTCTGTAGGTCCGAGGCCCTGTAATGGCTTATTGTGGGGTCTTTCACAGTCTCAAAACTACGGATCTTTGCAAAAATGGAGCTCATACTCTTAGAGTTGTGAAGGCTTGTGGAGACAGCTCAAACCATTTCTTGTTAGCGCACTTTGAAGATAAATAATTGCAATGCCTGATGTTCATCTTATGTTATGGACAAGTTTTAAACTTGTGACTCACCAGAACTTGGCCATGGAGGCAGTGTTGGAGTCCAGTCGACCCTGGTTATGTAGCTCCAGACACTGGTCCAGAAACGCCCGACCCACACAGATGTCTGTCTTTATCTCTGCCAGCTTGTGTTGGATGGTCTGGGAACATCAAAACAGTAAAAAAAGGTAATGTTTGCAAAGCAAATGCATAATGTTTACCTTTGCATATGGTCTGCTCTGTTAAAAATACTCATTACAAACACATTCACATATATGGTGACAGGAGTATAAATCCTGCCTACTATAAAATTGCAACATTGTGTAACCCAACACCAGTTACCATGGTGATAGACCTCTGGTTCAGGTCATTGACCTTTTTGGTTTGGAGAAGATAGAAGAGGAAGAAACTGAGCAAAAACAATTCGGTAACATAAAAATTTCATTAATTATCCGATGAAGCCAACAGTGGTCATTAAAATTAGATCTCCGTACTCTGCATGTGTGTTGGAATAAAGTTCAACATTTTACTATCTTTAAGGATAACTTGGATTTTCACCTGAAGTCTTGAGACCGTCTTGCCGAAAGCCTTCCTCTCCTTGACGTAGTTCCTGGTCTCCTCAAACATGAACTCAGACGAAGCGATCGCCATGTCTGCGATGATCAGTCTCTCCTGCGGTAACTCCTGGAGAAATAGAGAGTTTGATTTGATTGATTGATTTGATTTGATTTATTGAAATTGCAACAGTGCAATACACGTGGGACACAGGCAGCTGTTGCTGGTGTTGTGTCCCGCACATAGAAACGAATACTGGACAGACAATACTCATTTTCACTTGAGTCTAGTGGGGAAAGTCGTGTAAAGTGCCTTTCCCAAGGGCACAAGATCAGTGGCATGTCAGGACTCGAACCCGGGACCTCTCGATTCCGAGTCGCGCACGCTGCCGTTGCGCTACACGACCCCACTAATAGAGAGTTTGATAGTAACTAGAAAGGTAACATTTGCACAGCAAACACATAATGATTATCTTCACATGGTCTAGCCCAACAAACTACTGCTACTACACCAGGATCATTTAGTAGCCTCTACCAGGCTTCGGGAGGTGGCTGAAAAGAGTAGACATTGGCCAAATAGTCAGATAAGTTGGTCCACACTAAGGGAACAGTTTTCTGTTCAGTTTGCTGTTCTCTTAGCGTGGACAAACTCCCCTGGCATAATCTGTCTATTTGGTCGATTTCTTTGCTTTTCAGCTGCTTCCCGAAGCCTGGTAGAGGCTATCATTTACCTGCATGAGGTAAACAAACAAACAAACAAACCTGCATGAGGTAAACAAAAAAAACAAACAAACAAACCTGCATGAGGTAAACAAAAAAACAAACAAACAAACCTGCATGAGGTAAACAAACCCCCGGTTCTCCTGACCTAACAGAGCTGAGGGAGGCAGGCGGACATCATCGAAGAACAACTCTGCTGTGTCCTGAAACAAGGAGGAAGAGAAAATGTGTCAGCAGTGTGAAAGATTTACCTTTGGACACATTCTTAGGATACAGACATACCATAGACTAGCCTGGTTAACAAACCTATTATAGCTCCCGAGTTCTACAACTATTTGCGGAGAGGACTCAGGAGCTATAATAGGTTTGGTCACCAGGCTAACCATAGACACCCTTAAGTTCGAATGTGCAACTGCAATCTAGGACACAGTGCTCACTAACTTTTGGGGGGAGCTTCGAAATCTGAGGTTCATTGTACTGGGGAAATTCCCCTGGCTCTTTTTGACAAGTGCAATGAACAGTGGACCACGGCTTAACGTCCCATCCTAGGGACTGCGACCCTAAACAGAAGTGTGCATGTTGGGTGAGCGACAACAGCCGGGATTCGAACTCCCAACCTCTTAGTCCAGAGGTAGGATCGCTAACCACTGGACTACGCACGCTACTACATGTCATACAGCGCTGCCCTTGTGTCTCCTTTACTCTCTGGATGACAGAAGAAAAGATTCCTTCTCACCTGAGCCTTCATCCCGATTTTCTCCAGTTTTCGTCCCTTCTTGAAGCCCTCCATCCCGTCCTCCACCAGAAAGAGGCTGATCCCATGTGCGGCCGACTTGGCCTGCGGATTGGTGATCGCCACGACGATGGTGACATCAGCCATCCAACCGTTCGTGATGAACACCTGACAACAAACAAACATGTAAACAAAAACACAGTAATGATGACATCAGCCATCCAACCATGACATGTTTTTATTGCATAGAATACTGCTATTGACTGTTAAGCTACCCATATCATATTCATTCAATCTTTCCTTTCCTTTCCTTCCTTTATTCCTTCATTCCTTCAATCACTCTCACTCACTCACTCACTCACACTCATTCATTAATTCATTCACTCACTCACTTGTCTCAAGAAGCATTATATTTCGACTTTACTGAAGGGGAAGAAGAGACGAGAACTTGTGATGTCCTATGATATTTCTTTTTCAAATTGTGCCTCTTCATATTAAGTAAAAGTGTTAGCTGCTGTACTTTATGTTCCCACCTTGCTGCCATTCAGGATCCAGTCATCTCCGTTCTTCTTAGCGTTGGTTCGTATTCCCTGCAGGTCACTGCAGAAATACAGTAATGTTAGTACTGCCCCCTAGAGGTAGCTGTTGGTACACTACTACAGCTTGCAACACGAAAGGTAGTGGATGCTACCTGACCATTTGCAAAATCATATCCAGTAGCTTGAGTAACTGTATTTTGGCAGAATTAAGCATGTTACCTTCCAGCTCCAGGTTCAGTCATGGCCAGAGCGCCGATCTTACTGCCGGCCACCATGTCAGGGAGCAGTCTCTCGTGTTGCTCGGGGGTCCCGTACTTCTGGATGTAAGGCATCACGATGTCCGAGTGCATGGCGTAACCAGGCCCGCTGCAATTCGAGTACATCCTGCAAGGGGGCAGCACTGCAAGTGAGCTCCCATATCAACCCATATAAGGATATCCATTTCTAATCTTATATACAGCTATATACCAGAAGTATTCATTACAGGTTTGCATAGCGAAACCTGGTCTATTTTAGTTGGCATCCACGGGTGCGGCCATTTTGTTTCCCATCATGCTATGAGAGGTCAAAGTTTGAGAGAGAGATGTATGATGGGAAGGATTGTTGCCATTTTTCTACTCTGGCCTTCCTGATATGTTATGGCCTTTTATTTTACTAAATTTCTATCTTCATCATACGATCTCGTAATATAATTAAATAAAATGAAAAACACTTAGACTTTAACTTAGTTTAAGACAGGAAAGTTTCCTCACTGTTCCTCCCACATGACAGCTGAGTACAAGACGTCTGCTCCGATTCCGCCCAGTTCCTCCGGAGTGTTCACTCCCAGCAGGCCTTGCTCTCCTGCCTTCAGCCACACCTCACGGCTCACCTGCCCGTCTTTCTCATACCTGTCCATAATCAATAAATCAATCAATCAATTTATTAATCAACTAGAAAGCAAAGCCAAGCAAAGGCATCATGTTAACCTTCGCATATGGTCTGCTCTGTTAATTCTCACTCAAACACATTCCTATGTATGGTCAGATAGGAGTCTAAATCCCTCCTCTTATAAAATTGCAACATGATGTAAACCAGGGGTTTTTCTGAACAGGGGAACAAGGGCGCAGCGCCCTCATGTAACAAACCAGCGCCCTCATATCAATTTTCAGATTGAAGCCTAAGTCTTTTTCAAAATCATCTTTTTCCAGTAAAAATACAAAAACAACACCACATAACAATATATTCTAGCATTACAAACTATGTTACTCTCATAAAAATTCCAAAATCTTACCACAAACTTGAAAATTTAGCTCTAGTAGTAAAAGTTTGAATGGAAGAAACAATGTTCATTGAGAACTTGCTAAAAGACATGTAGCTAGGCCTCCTTCATTTGCATACTATAGAACAGGCTCTGAAGTGAAACATGAGACCTGAGTTTGTAGCAGCTTGGATGAATGTGTTGCAATTGTGCCATGGGAAAGGTTTCAGCTTGTGGCAAACCCAATGTTGTCATCTGGAGCTACTAGTAACATTGATCACTAATTGTGTGTGTAAGTGTATAAAGGGTGATTTGCAGATTGTGTGTACTGTTGGTTGTACTTATATTTTATAAGTGAAATATGCAATGCATGAATAGAAATTTGGGAAAGGTACATTGAGGTTAAGAGTTCAAATGGCCTCCCTCAAATAGCCTCAAAATGTCCCATTTCAACTTCAAATTTTCAAAGGCTTCACATGGCGGAAGGGGGGATAACCCCCTTCCGCACCAACCCCCCCTCGGTCGCTTCGCTCCCTCGCCGTGATACTGCTCCCTCATGCCAAATTTTTCTAGAAAAACCCCTGGTAAACCAACACTAGTTTCTAGTTACCATGGTGACAGGCATCTGGTTCAGGTCATTGACCTTATTTGTTTGGAGAAGAAGAAAAAGAAGAGGCAGGAAGAAGAAGAAGAAGAAACAGAGCAAAAAAAATATGTATGTTTTGCAGGGCTATGTTACTGAGATGAGCCAGGGTAATAAAAACAAACAAACAAACAGACGTACTGAGTGTGATTGGGTGCCACCTCCTCTGCCCAGAACCTCCTCACGCTCGCCCGGAAGATGTCGTGGTCCTCCGAGAAGATCCTTCGTGTCCCGATGTCGGTCATGGCCGGCACAGATGAGGTTTCAGGCCGGAACTGTTCCAAGGTCACGTCCTCATCAGGCGCTCCGGTACTCCGACATCTGATCATAAATAAATAAATAAAAGATATCAATTAATGATAATGACAGTGTGAAAGGTCAATGGTTAAGGCTCTTAAGTTGTCAACTTTGTTGATGTGGTTGTCCTGCCGCGGTGACCCATATATACATATACAGGCCTGTATATATATAAGGATTGCACATACAGTACCATCTATATAGTGCCCTGTGTATGCTTCTCATGCAACGCATCACACTGCAGCGAAATGCAATGATTGAATGAATGCAGAAGTAACTACACCACCGCAGGGCAAAAAAAGTCAAGGGTCAGTGACCTGATTAAGACTTCAAATTACTTGAAAATATTGTGTAAAAAAAGTCCAGCAGGACAAGGGTTAAAAATGCCTTCAAACTTCCAATTTGCCTAATCTGACAGGGAATTCCAGTTTAAAGAAAGAAAGCCAGGAATTCATCCATTCATCCTTTCATTCATCCCAAATGTTACTGTGTTTTGAAATGTCCTTCATATCAATGGTTTCCATCTTGTCACGCCCATCATTTAACCTCTAAAATATTAAACCGGTCTGGCAAGTTACTTATTGTGTACTGTACGTGGTTCAATTGATTCTGCTGTTCCAATGTCTTATAAGCTATATATGAAGATATATAGCAGGATTAGTACTAAAAGCCTCTGTAAATCTGTCAAAACACCCATTGTTTTCATCTTACGCATGCCCCCCCCCCCCGGCCATATATAACACTTCCACAATACCGCAATTTTTACCAACAATCAACCTAAATATCGGACGAAACTGGTGCCAAACCTGTGCAGGAGTGTTGCGGTAGCCGCAGGCAGCCGGCTGGAGGGACCGGCCGTCAGGTTAGCGGCCACAGCGCGACTTTGGGGCAGAACTCGGGACAGAACAGTTCGTAACGTCGCCGCCATCTTTAACTTCTCTTTCTTCCGTAATAAACGGGACGAACCATTATGTCCCCACAAAGGGTGGTGCTGTTTCTGGGTCAAGCGTCATTGTTTGACTTTGAAAACTTTGCTAACGAAGAATTTTATGACCTTTCACATAAAATCAATAAGATTGACTAAGCTATGAATTATATGGCAGAAAAAATTACACAAACTAGCTTGGCGGGATTTCTAAAAAGAAATGGTTCAGGATTTGACCTTGAAAACTTTTCAGCGACATTGGCTGTGTAAAAACCGAAAGGGGCGAGCAGGTTAGCACTGTTACAGCTGTAAAACGTTGCTGAAACATTCTAAAAATGACAAATTATCGGTTTTATTTTCAGTCTATTATTCTAAAATCGATATATAATGTTTTAAAATTGATAAATAGATGAAATTATCAGCTGTAAAATATATCGCGCCCCTGTTACTAATGAATGGTTTCTCCCAGTCCTGTTGTCAGAGTGGTGACCTCTGACCCACAGTTCTCCTGATGATCAGTCGAACCGCAGGTCACCGTAGAACGCGTTATTCTCTAAGATACGGCATTTGCCGGGTCACGATTTGACCCCGTTGCATGGGTGTAAACAACTGCCTATAGTGCAGCAAAAAGACCTCAGACCTACACAATGTTTACATTTTTTCATATCTGCAGGATTTGCCCAGTACAACCATGTAGATATTTCGTGCATTGCAAAATGACAGCGAGCGCTACGGCCTTCCAAAAATTAGCAATTTTTGGTCATTTTATTTGTGCTTGTCTTTTTTACTATTTAACTGGATCCCGTTATCTAATACCACAGTGTGATAGCCCACTTCTTCACCTTTACATTGATACCAATGACCCCTGGCAAATTTTATGGCAAACGGGTTTGCCCCCAAAAAAACTGTGACGATGCGCACATCGCGGTGGTCAAATTTAGCCCAGTTGTAAGCTACTAACACACACCATCCTGAGTTTCCGCTACATTTTGATACATTTCGCGTAATGTCATAAAATTCGTTTCTTGGTATGAGAAACTGTATGAATGTGGCTACCACATGCAATATAATAAGTGATATGATAACATTCAATTATATACAAAAAGAGGAATTTAATACAAGGTTCTGACCATTCAAAAATCGTCAAATTTGAAGTCAATCGGTTTCGAACTCCTGCGTTCGATCCATGGAACCAAGGCAGCGCGTTCTATTTTTCGCGCCGCCAACAATGTTGCAACTTTCAACCGCTGTTTGCGAAAGTTCATAAAAAGAAGTAATCAAGTTTTTTCATCACAAACAGATTTTCTGAAACCCATTCCAAGTCAGACTTATATCATGAAGACGCTAGAGAAAGTGGGATTCATGTGCAACTATACCAATGTCAGTACATCTGCCCGATGTTTGTATATTCACAGTAACAGGTCATAGTGTCCGATTTCTCCTTCAAAAATTAGGTCATGAAAAATCAACCTGTTGTTGTATTTGTTCATGCCCAAATTCCTTCTCTTCTGTTTTCATCCGTGAAGTGGGTATCGTTTTGAAGCTTACTATTTGGTCGATATTCTTTCACTTTCTTTTTTGTTCTATATAACTTTTAACTGAACATTTTTAAAGGCAAAAAAACTGTAAAGAAATTACACTTTTCTCAAGGTCGAGCAGCAATACACATTATGCAATTTCAAAACTAAGTACACAGGTATCAAGCCAACATAATTATATTTCAGCCACATATTACATTACAGGTGTATTGGTTAGAACTAGTTGCAAAAGCTTGAGATTCGAACAAAAATCGTTGAGAATTCGACTGAATGAGCTCAACTTACTATCGGTTACTATATTTTAACAACTACAGGATCCCAAAAGAAACAACACACGATAGATGAGGGAGGGTCTATACTTTATTAAACAATACACCAAATCGGCGATGAAATAGGGCAAACGGGTTTGCCCCCAAAAAAACTAAAGGGTACCTGTCTCGAGTGGAATCATCTCCATCATACACGGTCAACTTTGAAACCTCGTTTCTCCAACAAACACCACCGGTAATGTACATCTACGACCTTGAGCGTGACGCCGGCCCTTCTTACATCTCACATTAACGTATGACAAGGAAACCCTTACGCAAAGCGGAGTTACAAGCGAAACAGTAAACAGTAGCAAACTCTCGCGGATTCTCGCGGATCACATTACCTTGGAAAAGAAGCGCGAGATTTAAACGAGATCTTAGAGAGAGCTGCGCAGAACCGATGCGCATAGCGGTCTGCGGTTCGACTGTGATCATGGCTGCCCTTCAGAAGATACCGGCGTATCCGCCCGGGCTGATACCGGCCTACCGCCGTCTGTACGGCCTCGTGGGGGGTAGGATACGCAAGGAACAGGTAAAGCAACATTTTAGATACAAAACCGTGAAAGCACGACTTTTTATCTTGCAAAAGTTGGCCACTATTAACCTGTTAGAACCGCCCCTCCCCTTTGTAACAACAGGAATTATAATACCTTGATACCGTCTTCGGGATGAGAGGTAATCCTGTGGTGATCCCGATCTCGACTTCACTCAGTGTTATACTTTATGCTCTCCCAGTATTTGTCTACGTTCGTCTTGAACTCATTTACTGACTCTATAATGATTCCAAAGGATTTATCAAGGCTCTTTAGTGTATTTACCATATAGAGAAATTTTTTTTAAGGCTAATCCGTTGGAATTATAATGATTTCTGTTTTTATATCCGTCATATTAACATATAGACAAAGGTGTTGTTTAGGGATCACTAACTTTTCTTCTTTCAGGATTGTTCTCTAAAACGTATGGGTTTCTAGTCGTTTCCCCCCCATGCCTTCCCCCCCCCCATATCAGTCTGGTCATTTCCCAGAAGTTATACAGAAATATCCACGATTGAAAACATTGAAACGTAAACATCTATGATTTAAAATATTTTAAACATAAACATATGTGTGTGATATGTCTTGTAGGAGCCATTTATGAACGAGCTAGCCCCAAACTACAGTGTCTGTGTGGAGTTATGAAATACATTATGTATTTTGTGCTGTGTTTTAAATCATTTTTAAAAACCTTTCAAGATTCTCTTCATTGTTTATATACCCTTTTTTTAGGTCCTTGCTGCAGTACCATGCACATCAGTTCAGGGGCGCTTCAAGAGCAGGTATGCAAGAAACCTTCAATATAATTTTACTGATAGTCACCAAAGCATCAGATGTGAAAAGTCATTGGTTGTTTAATGAAGAATCATTTTATCCAGTCGTAACTTAAAGTGTACAGTAGCCTCCGTAGCAGGCTTATAGAACTGTTGGTTTGGTGGTCTTCGGCTGTTTTCTGATCAGCCCAGTTCTAAAAACGGGGTAATTCAACCAGGCCGCTATGTTGCCATGTAGAAACACCCCCTTTAGGATAATGGTTTGATCCGATGTACGCATGCGTACTGCGCAGTTGGTTTGAGAGAACAAAGAATACACTCAGTCGTCTCTATGCTCTGGCTTCGCTGGTCGTAATTGCGTTGTCATCTGGAATAGGAACTGTGATCTGGAACGAGGATTGGTAGGGTAACATTTGGAGGTTCTACCGAGATCCTATTTCCTGGAGTAACGGAGCGGATGAAGCGATTGCGACGAAGAAACTGCCACAGACGCCGGAGTGAGAGAGAAGAGTTCGCGCCAAAAGTGGTCACGGGACAAAAGGTCAGAGAGGTCAAATCATCGTAAACAAAACAAAGTTCAAGGGTTAACAAGATGGCGCCGCGGTTGTAAGGGGGAGGGCGACTGCAGTATTGTTGCTACGAAAGAGAGGTTGAAAGTCGGTGCGCTGAATCAAGATTACGGTAGTTTTAGAGGGATATTTGAGCACTACAAGAGAAGTATGGCGGAAGGAGGAAAAGGCGCACAGAACAGTAGTAGTGACGATAAAACATCAGGTCCTCAGACGCCGGAGGTGACGATGAAAAACCTAGTTGATGCCACCACGAACCTGGCACGAGTAGTAAACGGTTGTTTCACTGGGATAGAGCGCTTGGGAGAGAGACTGGCCACTTTGGAGGGTGAATCTGCTGGAGAAGGAAGCCACACTGTAAGAAGAGCACTCTGGCAATCGGAGAAGAAGTCAAGGTGGAAGGTGGATAGCAGCAAGGGCAACCAACAAGCAGGGTCCAACCACAAGAAGGAGTTCAAGATAACAGGACAGGTGGGGCAGCTGAGATTTCAGTCCCTCACATATCAAATCAAGAGTGGTTTGAGGCAGGGATATACAGAGGAGGAGGTGGTAGATGCAGTAATCAGGGCGATACCAGCCGGGTCACCTCTTCGGACTTACCTGGAAGGGAAAGAACAGTTGAACCTCACATTGGTCGAACAGGTGATAAGAGCCCATGGATTAGAGGAAACTGCTACCGACCTGTACCGTAAGTTAAGCATCGGATGCCAAGAAGAAGGGGAGTCTTCACAAGGCTTTGTCACAAGGATGATGGGGCTGAGAGACAAGGTGGTAGAAGCATCAAAGGAAGAAGATGGACTATATGACGCCAAATTGGTCCAGGCGATGTTCCTCCGCTCCGTACAAACAGGCCTGAGGGACAATAACATTAGGATGGAGATGAAACCGCACCTGGTAGCCAACTCCAACAGTAGCGACATCCTACTGTTGGAGAAGTTGAGCCGAGCCATCGTGGACCAGAAAGAACGGGACGAAAAACTCGCATCAACAAGCTCACCTCAACAAGCTCACGTCAACAAGGTCACTGTAACAAGCCCGCGGTGCAACCAATGTACACAACAGGGGATGGAGCTGTGCCGTCATTGTTTCAGGTGTGGGGGAAACAACCACATCGCTCGGTGGTGCCGAAACAAGAACCAGGGAAACGCTTCAGGGGCACCCCAAGGGGACGAGGGGTCGTCCTAGGCAGCTCACAACCGTCCCAGAAACGACAACAACAAACAACACCAAATAATATCAATCAACAGCCCTCGGTAACAACAACTAACAACAAACAACAACAACAAACAGCAACAGCAAACAACAATCAACAGCAATCGGTTCACGTCAACGCCATGACTGCATCACATCTAACACCAAAACAAAGAACTAAAATAACAAAGTTAGTCGGGAATCGGTGCCTGGTGTCGTGTAAGATGGATGACCAGCCAGTCCTGGCATTATGGGACACCGGTGCACAAGTGAGTATCATGACAGATACGTGGAGAGAGAAGAATCTACCAGAGATCAAGGTCAGACCAGTAATAGAGATACTTGAGGACACAGCAAGCCTCAACTTACAGGCGGCAAATGGTACAGAGATCCCATACAGTGGATGGGTAGAGGTCAGTTTTAAACTAAGCGAAGATGACTCACCAGCTATCTCTGTGCCATTTCTGACAACCAACAGCCCTAGTCAGGACCATCCGATAATTGGATACAACGTCATCGAAGAAATCCAAAAGCGTTGTGGGAGTGACTCTGCCCTGCTGTCGAGGGCGCTGCCGGTTCGGCCACAGAGGGCGGCGGCCCTGGTTAACCTGATAGAAGAGTTCAGCGTCCCGAACCCGGCAGGAGTGCGGGTCGGCAGGAAGAGAGTTCGGCTACCACGAGGGGCAACAGTTCAAGTTAGGTGCAGGATTCCTCGCGGCTCAGTGGAGGAGAAACAGATCATGCTGTTTGAACCAGATGAAGCCGGTGATTGGCCCACGGGCCTGGAAGTGGGACCGGCACTCATCCCAGTTAACTCAACGGGGATGATCAAGGTGCCTGTAACCAATCCCAACCAATATGATGTCTATCTGCCGGCAAAGACAGTGTTGGGTCGAGCAGAACCAATACGATCAGCAGTACCGGTTGAGCTGAGGAGAGTGCCTGAGGGATCTCAACACCCAACAACTGAGGACAGGAGACCAGTGAGCGAAGAACCACAGCAAACACCACAGCAAGCTCAAGTAAACACTGTTCAGGCAGAAGATGAGTTGTGGGACCCTCCAGTTGACCTGTCACACTTGAGCGAGGAGCAGAGGAAGATTGTGAAACAGATGCTCCGGGAGGAATCAGGTGCATTTTCTCGAGATGAGTCTGATATCGGCAGTATTGAAGGTCTCAAGCTGAAACTCAACTTGACAGACACAGAGCCAGTGCAAAAGAATTACGTCTCCATCCCAGCACCTCTGTATAAAGAAGTGAGGGAGTATATTGAGGACCTCATCAACCAGGGGTGGATTACCAAATCAAAGTCACCCTACTCCTCTCCGATGGTGTGCGTCCGAAAGAAGGATGGGAGCATGAGGCTCTGCATTGACTACCGCGCCTTGAACGAGAAGACAATGTCAGACAGGCAACCACTACCGAGGATCCAAGACATCTTGAACCGCCTGAAAGGAAGCACCTGGTTTTCCGTCCTGGATCAGGGTAAGGCCTACCATCAAGGCTACATGGATGAGGAAAGTCGGGAGTTCACAGCGTTCGTTACTCCATACGGCTTGTACGAATGGGTTCGAATTCCCTTCGGTCTTAAGAACGGACCTCCAGCATATCAGAGACACATGGAAGAGGTATTAGAAGGCCTGAGCCACGTGATCTGTGAACCCTATATGGACGATACCATGGTCCATAGTGACACGTTTGAATCCCATGTTGAGCGGAACAGGAGGGTCTTACGTCGCCTTCAGGAGCACGGGTGCAAGCTTAAACCAAAGAAGTGCATCATGTTCAGGCGGCAAGTGAGATACGTGGGGAAATTAGTAACTGCTGAGGGCTACACCATGGACCCCGAGGACACGGCAGCTGTCAATGCGCTGAAGGAGAAAACACCTACCACAGTAGGGGATGTGCGGAAGCTGCTGGGATTCCTTGGGTACTACCGGACATACATTAAGAACTTCAGTCAGATTGCCAAGCCCCTGTATGATTTGCTGTCAAATCATGCCCCAAAACAACCAATCAAGTGGACAGAAGAACACCAGAGAATACTCTGCCAACTCACGGAACAGCTGACTAGCCCACCAGTGATGGCATACCCAGATTTCGAGCGACCCTTTGTACTGCACACTGATGCATCAGCTCAGGGTCTCGGTGCTGTATTGTACCAGCAAAGTGAAGGGAAGCTGCGGGTAATAGCCTATGGATCGAGGACCCTGACTCAGGCGGAGAAGAACTACCACCTCCATTCAGGGAAGCTCGAGTTTCTCGCCTTGAAGTGGGCTGTCACTGAAAAGTTCCGGGACTATCTGTACTACGCACCATCGTTCGAAGTGTATACCGACAATAACCCCCTCACCTACGTTCTGAGTACGGCCAAGTTGAATGCGACAGGTCACCGATGGGTGGCAGAGTTGGCGGACTATAACTTCAGCATCAAGTACCGACCTGGGAAAGCCAATGCAGACGCAGATGTGCTGTCAAGAGTACCACGTCCAAGTCCAGGAGATGCTGAGCGGTTTATGGCTACCTGCACAGAAGAAGTGAGTGGTGATGTACTGAGTGCCACCACCCAGGCCATGCAGGCGGTTGATCAAGGAGATGCCACATGGATAAGTGCTATCACTACGAACATTGACAGTCTACCACCTGAAGATAAGAGTGCAAGTATGGGACCATTGAGCAAGAAGGAGATCGGTGAAGCGCAACGTCGAGACTCAGCCATTAGAAAGGTAATTGAACTGAAAGAAGAAGGGAGGAATCCCACTACCCGAGAGAGGCAAGACAACTCATTCGGTACAAGAGAGTACATGCGGGAGTGGAAAAGGCTTCAGATCGATGATGAGGGCATTCTCCGCCGGAGAGCTGGTCCAGTTCTGCAAATAGTGCTTCCAAAGGACTATAGAAACATTGTATACCAAGAACTACATGACAAAATGGGCCATCTGGGAGCAGACAGGGTTGTCAGCCTGGCAAGACAACGGTTCTACTGGCCAAAGATGCAGAGAGACATAGTTGAATACTGCACCTCCAAGTGTCAGTGCATTAAGCGCCGGAAGCCAAACATTCCAGACAAAGCTCCACTTACTAACATCATCACCACTGAGCCGCTACAACTGGTGTCTATTGACTATGTCCACCTTGAAAGGAGCAAAGGTGGCTACGAGTACATTCTGGTGGTTGTGGACCATTTCACACGGTTTGCTCAAGCATATGCCACCAGGAATAAGGCAGGGAGAACAGCAGCAGAGAAGCTCTTCAATGACTTCATTCCTAGATTTGGGTATCCTCTCAAGATTCACCATGATCAAGGAGCGGAGTTTGAAAACAGGTTGTTTCAACGCCTACATCAGCTGAGTGGAGTGTCGCCCTCGAGAACAACTCCCTATCACCCCCAGGGAAACGGTCAAGTGGAGAGGTTTAATCGGACTTTGCTAGCGATGTTACGTGCTCTCCCAGAATCCCAGAAGACAGATTGGAAGGCGTCTCTTAACAAGGTGGTTCATGCGTACAACTGCACCCGACATGAGAGCACCGGTTACTCTCCCCACTTCCTGTTGTATGGACATCACCCCCGACTGCCAGTGGACCTTATGTTTGGGATTGAAGACAAGGAGCATGAGGTTCAATCATATCCTGAGTATGTCAAGAGATGGAAAAGGGGCATGCAGGAGGCCTACAGGATTGCGAGTCAGCAGGCCAGGAAAACAAGTGCAAAAGGGAAGAAACAGTACGACAGAAAGGTGCACGGTCTCAGTCTGTCCAGTGGTGACCGGGTCCTTGTTAGAAATATGACAGACCGAGGAGGACCGGGCAAGTTGCGTTCCCACTGGGAGGACAAAATCCACATCGTTGTGAAGCAAAAGGGGAAAAATATCCCCGTGTATGAGGTACGCCCAGAGTGCCAAGAGGGAAGATCACGAGTGTTGCATAGAAATATGTTACTCCCATGCGAGGGACTGCCCCTAGAGGTCCCAGTTCCCAAACAGAGTAGAAGAAGAACACCTCAAGAGGAGGAGGGGAGAGGTAGTGAGAAAGAAGAAGCTGTGCCCAGCAGAGTAGAAGAAGATGAAGAGGCTGAACCTGAGAGCCAGGCAGAAGCTGTGCCCAGCAGAGTAGAAGAAGATGAAGAGCCTGAACCTGAGAGCCAGTCAGGAGGCTCAGACAGCGATAGTGACAGCGAGAAAGAAGAATCTGCACTAAGTGGAGTTGAAGTTGAGTCTGAGGACCAGCCCTGTGTGTCCCAGGGTGGTGAGGATGTTCCAGACTCAGCAGAAGCAGAAGAGAATAGACCGAGACGAAATAGGAGACCACCACGGACTCTCACATATGATGTAGGTGGACAACCTGGCTACTTGAGAGTGCCAACAGTGAACACAGTAAATGCAGCAGAGTGGAACGTAGGGACACCATGGCCACTGAACATGTGGAATGCGGGAGCAGGGCATCCTGGGCAATTATATCAGTCGTGCCCTCACTGCAGACAGTTGATACCGATAATTCGCATGTACGCGCCCAGCTAAGGGGATGGAGTACCTGCTGTTCGGGTGGATGGTGAACTGCTATGGATTACTATTCCTGTGGAGTACCTGCTATTTGTGTGGACTGTGAACTGCCATGGATTACTATTCCAGTGGATTACTTGTTTCTGTGGATTACCCGCTGAAGGAGAAGAGTCTCAAGGGACAATTATATTATGAACAGTGAATGCATAATATTGTGGAACATGTGTAATAGAGACATAGTGTGAATGAGGTAGAACTTGAGAAAGAGAGAACATCTGTCGTCAGGTCATGTGAAACTTCTTGGGCAATCAACATGTGTGGAGGTTATTATACCGTGGATTGTTGATGTGTCTGTTGATGAAGAACTCCGATAGTAAATCTATTTCTTTCAGAAAAAGTGTAGGGAGTATGAAATGTTCTCTAGTGGATTAAGAAGTGACATTCTGAAGATTACACTAGAATGCATCAGTTAGGGGAAGAAAGAAAGCTGTGATTTCTTTGTGTATTAGTAAGTGGACGAGTTGTTCAGCCATGTTGTTAAGTAATATAGATGCTAGTATGCATTTATCTCTTCTGTATGGAAGTAGAATATTATCTCATATCAGTTTGCTACTGTAGAAGTCAGTGCCTTCGCGATGTTTGAAATGTACGTGCAAGTTACGTAGTGAAAAATGCAGTCTTGCTGTAGTTAAGTTTAATTCAATAGTCAAAGCGGTTCTTAAGGCAGTTCTAACACTCTTTACTTTGTTGTACAAGTTAAAAATATTTTATTCGAATTCACATAGATGTAGCTATAGAGAAGTTCCAAGTTAACAGTTCTACATGTTATTTACAACAGTTCAATATTTATTGTCAAATGTCGGGACGACATCTCAGCCAGGGGGGGCGTGTGTTGCCATGTAGAAACACCCCCTTTAGGATAATGGTTTGATCCGATGTACGCATGCGTACTGCGCAGTTGGTTTGAGAGAACAAAGAATACACTCAGTCGTCTCTATGCTCTGGCTTCGCTGGTCGTAATTGCGTTGTCATCTGGAATAGGAACTGTGATCTGGAACGAGGATTGGTAGGGTAACAGCTATGTTGTCTATATGCAATCAGAAAATAGCACATAAAAGCTCCCAAAGGCCCTGAAGACCCCCCAAAACCTATACTATGGAGGCTACATCTGTGTTTTCTGTTTTCCCCCAGTCGTTCTCGGGAGTACCTCCAGGAAAGCATTGTTCCCAGCTACCATTTCCAGCCCAGCATGCCGAGACTGCCGGTCCCCAAGCTGGCCGACACCTGCAGTCGCTACCTGGCCTCCCAGGGGGCGCTGCTAGACAGTCAGCAGTACGCAGAGACGGCCAGGATCACCCAGGAGTTCCAGGCCAAGGAAGGCGCAGGTTGGGAGGATGTTTTTGTCAACCATCTATCCTTTGTTTGTTTCTTTTGTTTTGCAAAACCGGTAAACCGCCTTTAGGCATAACACACCAGTGTTGTACATGTACGTACATGTACAAGCTGCGTAAGACCGGACTGTAAGGTTTGAACCACTCGGTGGCATGGGCAGGAGACATACAGAGTACATACTATAGACAACTCTCCACTGTCTCCAGTGTCACTGATGAAAGGTAGTGGAAGGCTACCTGAAATGTTTCTAAAACGTTTCTGACCGTTTCCAAAATCATATCCAGTTGCTTGAATGAGTAACTTTTTTTCAGCATATACAGAGTACATGTATGCTCTTCAGCCTTAGCCACTTTTGAAGGGAGGATGGTAAAGTTTACATAGTAACACTACCATAGAATGAAACAATAGATTACAATGATATTGATACATACAATCGCGACTAAACTTTTTTTTCTATTGACAGAGCTCCACAAGGAACTTGTTGCCCTGAATGACCAGAACAAACACACAAGTTATATCTCAGGTGGGTACATGTGTTAATCAAGTTTACAGGTAAAACAGCCATAGTCCTATGAGCTGGCCAGTCATGCTTAAGTCCACATAACCACCCCGGCATCTGTTCAGGAAACCACCTTTGTGAAAAAAAACGTAACCAAATTAGAAAGGTAATTTTTTTTATATATTCCAACATGTAATCACAAGACGTGTTGACGACACACTCAAGTTTTTTCAACTTATATTAATGCCGCCACCAACACAGGGGACAAGTACATGACAGGACAATACTCATTTTCATCTGAGCGAAGTGAGGAAAGTCGTGTAAAGTGCCTTTCCCAAGGACACAAGATTGGTGGCATGACAGGACTCGAACCCGGGACCTGTTGATTCCGAGTCGAGCACTCTGCCGCTACGCCACACGACCCCAAGTTGTAACAAGTTTCTCTCTCCTGTTCTCAGGTCCGTGGTTTGACATGTACCTGAAGAGTCGACAGTCCGTCGTGTTGAACTTTAACCCCTTCATATCGTTTGTGGATGACCCAAAGGCCGGATACACTAACCAGGTAACCATGTAAAAGCTGATCTCCAAGCAGATCATACGGTGGCAAGGCAGTATCCATTGGACAGAGGAGTGTCTATTAGCCACCTAAGGTGGCCAATCATTACAGTTGTAAGAAACAGGAGGAGCAAGTAGAAACAGATAAAAACCCTTCTGGTCACGGGCTGGGGTTCGAACCCACGACCTCCTGAGCACCAGCTTCTGACTCCGACGCTCTAACAGGTCTAAAAGGTCTAAACCCGTTGGCCGGGTCAGTTGGTAGCGCCTACTTATAAACCCCCTACTGTTACACTGTCTGGCGAATGGATATTGCCTGGCCAATTTGATACTGTCTTTTGCAGCCACCAAGAGATCTACTTGGAGATTAATAAAAGCTTCTCTTTTGTTTTTTCTTACTCAATGGTCATCAAGAAGTAGTAGAGACTATAGCCTTGGACCATTTCATTTCATAGTGTCTTTTGGACAAGTCAGTAAAACTTGTAAAACAGTAGTAAGCTTTCTGTTTTTCTGGTACCCGTTTTAAGAATTTTTACCTCTACATATTTTGGAGCCAAGAGAAAGAATAAGTTTAGCTTAAAGCTGACTTCAAAAGTGATTTCAAACTGATAGAATTTTGAAAAGTCTGCCCCACCACGTTAGATGTCCGATGAAGTTTTGACGCAATGCCTGCTGTTTTCCAGCTGGTGAGGGCCACCAACTTTGTGGTGTCCTCTGCGCGGTTTATGAAGTGCCTGCGAGCAGAGCTGCTGAAACCGGAGATTTTTCACCTGGGAGAAAGGAGCAAGTCCAAGTGGTTTGAGAGGGTCATTCGGTAAGACCAGATTTTTTTGGTTATTGAGTCAACAGACAAATAAACAAATGGTGATGAAAACAAAACTTGGAAGGGAAGAGAATTAAAAATATGAAACGGCAGGACAAAAAATATAGAAATAAAAACAGGCATAGGCATATGATAGCCCCAAATGCTATGAGAGGAGCCATTAAGTCAATATACCAGGCTGGTTTGTAATTCAAACAATGAAATTTGAATGTTAAATGAAAGTGCTGTAACTGTAACAACTAGGAAGTCAGTTCAAGAACCTTTTTAACTCCTCATTCATTCATTGACTCTCTCATTCCTTCCCTCCACAGCTATGTTCCCAGTTCGCTATCCTGGTATGGAGCATACATGGCTAACGGCTACCCGCTGGACATGAGTCAGTATAAGAACCTGTTTAACTCCACGCGAATCCCTCGGCCGGGCAGAGATGAAATCGTAGTTGACAACTCTGCGAACCACCTACTGGTGATACGCAACGGGCACATGTACGTGTTTGATGTCATGGATGCAGATGGTGAGTAGTTTCATCTTTGGTACTTCTGGCTATCTAAGTATTGGATCCAGTGAAAATTACTGGTGTAAAATGTTGTGTACATGTCCGTCCTTGGTGCTGAACTCACTGCAGCCAAAATAATTGGTGTAAAATACTCACTACAGCCAAAATAACTGGTGTAAAATGTCATGTACAGGTCCTGTCCTTAGTGCTGAACTGACTACAGCCAAAATAACTGGTGTGAAATGTGGTGTACAGGTCCTATCCTTGGTGCTGAACTCACTACAGCCAAAATAACTGGTGTAAAATGTTGTGTACAGGTCCTGTCCTTAGTGCTGAACTGACTACAGCCAAAATGACTGGTGTGAAATGTGGTGTACAGGTCCTGTCCTTGGTGCTGAACTCACTACAGCCAAAATAACTAAAGATACTAGATATCTGATACCAGCCCAGAAAAGAACAAGAAACAGTCTTGCCTTCAAATATCGGAGTTATCAACCAAGAATTGAGGTGTTCAAAAACTCGTATTTCCCCAGAACTATCGTAGACTGGAACTCACTGCCACCAAGCACAATAGGGGCATCATCACTAGAAAGCTTTAAACAACTCCTACAATTAAGTATGCAAAGATTGAGTGTAACAAGTCGTTCGGTGTGATATAGCTAGCTGCCACCATGCCGCGTGCCTGCGAAGCTGGTGAAGCTAAAATCAAAAGCAAAAGTAGAGTAAGCAATACTAGTAAATGAGAGGAGGTGGGATTCCTTAGCTTGGGTGCCATCCGATTTGTAACGGCTACCCAAATGGCACCCAGGCTAGGGATTCCTGCCCTTTCTGACACAACCCTCCTGTTGTAGGTCAAAAACTTGATATTCCAAAGGCAAAAACACAGAGATACAGAAACTCACCAATACCCTACCTGACTCGATTGTTGAACCAGCATGACTTTTAATCTGTAATTTATTTTTAATGCATTGTCAATGAGCGAATATTCTCTTACTGTCACGACCAATTCTTTGTATATATGACGCTCCTCTTTTATTGATTATTGTACTACATTTTAATAATACACTGTATTGTGCTATTGCACTACCTTTTAACCCTATATCGCCAACCATTATATTGTACCTTTATGTAATATTGATCTTAATTCAGTGTACTCCACTGCGACATCAATAAAGCCAATCTGAATCTGAATCTGAATCTGAATCCAGGTAACATCAAGCCGGCAGCAGAGCTCCATGCGTACCTGAGCCACATCCTGTCGGACCAGACACCGCCCCCCTCCCACCCTCTCGGCTATCTCACGGCGGAGAACAGGGACACCTGGGCAGCACTCAGGCAGAAACTCGAGGACTGTGGCAATGGTGGGTTTGTTTGTTTGTTTGTTTGTTTGTTTGTCTGTTTGTTTCTTTGTTTGTGCAACAATGTTAAGCAGGAACATGATGATAATACTAAAAACTGGAAAATATTCCTACCTGGCTTGAAGGAATCTACATCTACATCAAAAAGGTAACATTAATTTTGTAAACAAATTTTGTAAAGAACTACATCACTATGGAAGAAGCTTCCCTGTGAATGCTTCCCAAATAGGTACAACCTTAAACTCTTCAAGTCTAGGGTGAACAAACATCTGTCTCCTAAGTTCCTTAAATAATGTTGTAACCCAAAACATATATATTAAGTGATTTGTATGAGCCTTGCTTTGAGGTGATAGTTGAAATGAATAATAAATTTTTTTTTTTAAATACTGTTTTCTTTCACCTATGGTCTAGCCTAACAAACTACTGCCCTGTTTATTCTTACTCGAGTCAAGCACATTCATATACATGGTGGCCAGCCCCTCTAACTTTGTCACTTGCACAGGAGAGGTTCTGAAGACAGTAGACAGTGCCATGTTCTGTCTGTGTCTGGAAGACTCAGCGGCAGAAGATGTGGACAGTCTCACCAGACTCATGCTACATGGAGATGGGGCCAACAGGTGGGGACTGTATCTTTTATCTCAAAAGTTCATCTGTGTTACCAGTGCAATAGCTCAATCGGGTAGAGTGCTCACTTTGTATGTAACTGTGAGTTCAAACCCCAGCCGGGTCGTACCAAAGACTTTAAAATGGTACATACTGCTTTCTCTGCTTGGCACTCAGCATCTATGAGAAAGAGTGTGGGAAGGTCAAATGCAGAACACTGTCAGTCGGCTAGCTCTCTGCTGTAGTGCTTGCACAACTGTGTGGCCCAAGGGCTACAGAAATAAAAATGGGCACCACCCCTATGCTACATGTTACTGTACAGATGATGGAAGGTAGATATGGGTGACTATGCTTCAAAAAGGTGAATAAAGTTAGTTTTGAAGGCAAAAATGTACAAGAATGTACAGGAGGGAAACACATTTCAGGGAGAAAGTTCTATAATTAGAGAGTTCTATAATCTGAAAGTTCTATAATCTGAAAGATCTATAATCTGAAAGTTCTATAATTTGACAATTCTATAATCTGACAGTTCTATAATCTTGAAGTTCTATACTCTCCAGTTTTGTTTGTTTGTTTGTTTGTTTACCTACTACATGTACATTCTTTTCCCCACTAGGTGGTACGACAAGAGCTTCTCCCTGATCGTGGACAGAAACGGAGGTGCGGCGGTGAATTTTGAGCACGCCTGGGGGGACGGTGTGGCAGTTCTTCGCTACTTTAACGAGGTTTTTGACGACGTGTCGATTTCTCCCAACGTGACCCCCTCCTGTAAACCTGCCGACATCAACGCTTCGCAACACGTCAGGAAGGCAAGATGTTTGTTTGTTTGTTTGTTTATTTGTTTATGATGCTTTATGAACATAAGAAAGGCAAGCTGTCCCATTGTTTATTGGGTTGTTTATGTTTTTTTTCTATCTTCAAAATTGGTGGTATTTTTCAGGATCTCTAACTCAAGATTATAAGTATAATTCTGAAAATTGTTGTGTAACTGGATATTAGGATGCGTTTCATTTTGATTAATTGATAGATTGATTGCTTTATCGATTTACAGTTGGAGTTCAAACTTCATGGATATTAATATTTGTCTATTTTATTTACTGTTTACACTTATCATTTAATTAAATTACAGTTAGAGTTCAAAAACTCTAGAATAAAAAATTGTTCATTTAGTTATTGCTTACTGTTTATAATTGGAGTTCAAACTGGATGATGATTGCTTGTTGTTTATTTCTTACAGTTGGAGTTTAAGCTAGACGGAGCTCTACAGGAAGGGATTCAGCAGGCGAAGGAGAATTTCTGGACCCACGTGAAGCCGTTAGACCTGGCAGCTCTGCAGTACACTAAACACGGCAAAAACGACCTGAAGAAGTACAAAATCAGCCCAGACTCTCTCATGCAGCTCGCTATACAGGTGGGGGAAGCTTTAGAAATCTAGTTGTTTTTTTCTCTCTCTCTTTCTTTTTCTGTTTAAGTTGCTAAAATACAGATATATTACTCCCTTATGTAGCTGGTTGGGTGGTCTTCATGTACGAGTGTATATCACAATTACAGTGAAAACAGTTTACCCCTATTACAAGTATATATAAGAGGTCCCTTTGCACTTGGCAGAATGAGTATGGTAATTTATTTATCACAACACTAAATTCTTGCCCAAATGTGGAAAAATTGGATGGCATTTGTTGGCTTCTTTAAAAATGCTCTCATCTCTTGCAATCATAGAATCAAGTACTACGGAAATGTTAACTGCTCTATACACCTAAAAAATAATCTTACATTCATGTGAGGAGAAGTAACAAGTGCTATGTTCTGTTGCAGATGGGCTATCATCGACTGACAGGAAAGAGCGCGGGAACCTACGAGTCATGCAGCACGGCCGCGTTCAAACACGGTCGTACGGAGACTGTTCGCTCGTGCACGCCCGAGACCAGGACATGTTCGCTGGCGTTCGACAAAGTTGACTCTGCCAATGCTTTGGAGCTGCGACAGCTGATCCAGGCCTGCTCGGATAAACACAACAGCCTCACTAAAAATGCTGCTATGGGTAGGTAGTCTGAAGCTATATGCAGCGTGCAAAATACCTGGTTGCCCAGTTGCCCTGCACAACCAAATTTTACTTGGGGCAACCTGTTTTTGAACCAAGGTTAGCCCAGTGTGGTACCTAGATTTTAAGAATGCCCCCCCCCCCCCAAGTCATGCCCACTTGGCTTGCACCACTGTAGCCAGCAGATGCTTTTTAATTTTAGGTATTGATGGCTGTTATTAGTAACAGTTAACTACAGTGTAGAAGAATTCATATTCCTGATGCAACTAGACAAACCATCCATCAAAAAACAAATTTGTTCTAAATTTATTTTACAGAAAAGCGAGAAGTTGTTTCTTTTTGTATCTGTTAACTGTATCTGTTCATCATGTTTTTTGTGGCCTGTACTTAGCCCAGAGTGACAAAAATGTGCAATAGAGGTCGTACTTTCTTTCCCTCCCACTCCAGGTCAGGGCTGGGATCGGCACCTGTTCGCCCTCCGCACTCTGGCCGAGCAGACCAGCGCGTCTCCCGCCATTTTCCGCGACCCTGCGTATGCGGCGATCAACCACATCATCCTGTCAACCAGCACCCTCAGCAGCCCGGCGGTGCACCTGGGCGGTTTCGCACCGGTTGTGCCAGACGGTTTTGGGATCGGGTATATGATACGTGACCGAGAGCTTGGGTATAACGTTACAAGTTACCCCGCGTCACATAATGTTAGAGATTTCCTACAGTGTGTGGAAAGTAGCCTGGAGGACCTGTTTAAAGTGTTACAGGAGTCTAACAAGGCTGCAAATCAAGAAAAGAAATAAGCTAGGCCCATAATAATTACCAGTATTTCTATCACTAATAGCTTTAATTTCATCTGTGTTGGTAGAAGTCATTCAGGAACAGGTTTTTCATCTGTTATTTCCAACACAAGAATTGGACTCATTCTTGGTGATTTGCACCTTTTTTTCACACCATTGGTCCTCTTTTGTAGTGTTGTATTGTCTAATAGTTTGCCTCCTTGTTAAGAAGTACAGTACAAGAAGAGAGTACTTGGAAATTGACCCTGAATGAACCCCTGAAGACAAGTGGAAGGTAGAGTGGTATAGAATGTCAGATTAGACAAGACAGGGTTTGGTAGAGAAGATTTTGACCAAAGAGGGAGGTCAGGTTTTGCTAAACAGAGTAAAACTTAGCCTCCGTAGCAGGCTTATAGAACTGGGGGTTTGGTGGTCTTCGGCTGTTTTCTGATTAGCCTCCGTAGCAGGCTTATAGAACTGGGGGTTTGGTGGTCTTCGGCTGTTTTCTGATTAGCCCAGTTCTAAAAACGGGGGTAATTCAACCAGGCCAGCTATGTTGTCTATGTGCAATTAGAAAACAGCACATAAAAGATCCCAAAGGCCACGAAGACCCCCAAAACCCCCAGTTTTTGGCATGCTATGGAGGCTTATATCAGGATTACTTATATTTACACAATGTACTTACAAATAAATCTCTTAATGATGGTAGCTTTGGGTAGTTACTGTTAGCTCCCATCTATGAGTTGTAAATACTGTGTTAGGGACAATATTGTGAAAAAGAAAGAAAAAAAAAGATTAATTTAATAATTAAAGAATAGATTCTGAAACAACTGAATGAGCAGCCATGTGCTGTTTTGGATTACATGTATTAAAACATCATGAACAATCAGCTGTCTTATTCATTTATTTATGTATATACAGAGAGAGAGGGAGACAGAGAGAAAGGTATACATGTAGATATGACATGTATGTGTATGGTTGGCTCTATGGATAGAGTTATTGAACGATTAGATAAATGGATGTTGATGGAAGTACATGTGTAAATGGAAATAGATATATAGATGGATGTAAACAGAGACAGCTATCTGGATAGTTATTTATAAAACTAATGCATCTAAAGGGTATAAAATAGAGAGAGAAATGTACACTGTACACGACCAATACTAGTACCCATCGAGGAGCTCCCCTAGCGACCAAGATTAAATTGCACCATGGGAAAATAAACTGCGTACTTAACATCGTTTTGAGATGAAAATTGAGTTTGTAGACAAACAACGCGATATCAAACAAAATCATACTGATTCAGCTGGTGCCTGTGCTTATTCACCTAACAACCTAGCCTCTACCAGGCTTCGGGAGGCGGCTGGAAAGAGTAGAAATTGGCCAAATAGAGAGATACTAGTAACATGCCGGGGGACTGCGGGTAACTGTAAAAACCTGGGCCGTTCCTAGGCCGTTCCTAGGCCGTTCCTTGGCCGTTCCTAGGCCGTTCCTAGGCCGTTCCTTGGCCGTTCCTAGGCCGTTCCTAGGCCGTTCCTAGGCCGTTCCTTGGCCGTTCCTGGGCCGTTCCTGGGCCGTTCCTGGGCCGTTCCTTGGCCGTTCCTGGGCCGTTCCTATGCCGTTCCTATGCCGTTCCTAGGCCGTACCCGCTCAACAATTCTGGCCGTACCCGGAAATTCGGGCCGTACCCGCTCAAAAATTATGGCCGTACCCGGAAATTCGTGCCGTACTCGCGAAAATTTCAAGCCGTACCCGGTAATTCGGGCCGTACCCTGTACTTTTTCGCCGTACCCAATGGCGGATATCGCTCAGCCCCGGTGCGTAGTCACTCGGAAGTCGTGTCTAAATACCCTGTACGGCAACGATACACAACCTCATATAGCCTATGCTCTGGTAAATATTCCTGGCCACCTATCTGCCGAATGGCGTCGTACAAATCGCGCCCAATCTTGAGAACACTTCGCTCGGCCGGCCGTTCTCTCCAAACCGCTTCTCGACCGGGTACGGCTTGAAATTTTCGCAGGTACGGCACGAATTTCCGGGTACGGCCAGAATTTTTGAGTGGGTACAGCTTGAATTTCCGGGAACGGCTTGAAAGGAGTTTGATGGGGGTGCTTGCTAAGTTGCTCCAGTGACGACATCACAGAACAAGTGACGTGATGACGTTCTAGAACAAGCCGTCGCTATGGTCACCTCCCTGTTGTTCTATAACAACCTCTACAAAGCAAGAAACACGCAATCCACAGAAACATGGGACGCAGTAGGGTAGCCAGGGTGAAGCGCAGCGCAAGAGCAAACCTTGAAAAACTTCAGTGTCGGATCCGAAAATTACGAGACAGACTTTTCCAAAGGAGAAAGAAGAAACAACCGCTGGAAAATGGTGAGTACGACTAGCCGACGACTGGTCTCGCCTTAGTTTCCGTTCTGCCTATTTACCGGAAAACACAATATAGGAGGCTTAAATCTACCGGAATACATCCTGCATTGATGAGATAACAGCCCGAATTGCTAGATTTGGGCATAAGATAACTTATATGTAGCCCAGGGAACAAGAAATCACTTAAAAGTCCTGGTTTAAGGAGGCATGATCGTTTAAGCGTATGGCCGGGTTGCCTCTGCCGACTACCGATTCTTTTATTTATCTGTCTGATTTGAAGCTCTAGCTTCCAGCCCTCTAGTTTCAACAGCAATTTTGTTCCAGATCTGAACTTGAAAGTTCTACTTGCAGATGAGACTGACCAGCTGAGGAAAACCGTGGAGACCCTGCAGCAGGACCTGGAACTCACGCGGGAACAGCTGGGCTATCAGACCCTGAAGACGGCCACAATCGCCGAGGACAGGGACACTGTAGGGTTGTTTGTTTATTTGTTTGTTTATTTATTTGTTTATTTATTTATTTATTCATTCATTTCTCGAGGGGGAAACATGTCGCGTGCTGATGACTACATCAAATAATATCAACGACACAAATATTAACACATTATATTTCAAACTGCCCCATCCACGATCACGAAAGAAAGGACCTGTTTGGAGAGGCCAACAAATTCCATCCAAAGTTCTCCACGTTTACAGACAAAAGGAAAACTACTGTCTTCTTAACATCACAAAACCCAAATATTATAGAAAAAGTGGGATCATTCGTCTTCTACTGTCTCGGTAAAAGAAGCCAAGCCCAACAAGTTAGAATTAAGTGTTTAGTAGTTAGAGTAGTAACATACTATATTGTTATCCATTGTCCATCCTTTATTTTCATGTTGCATGCACTTGCAATTAGCCTACGGGTAAGAACTTGTAATAAAAATTCTATTAACAAAAATTTATGCAAATTATTGGTACAAAACCAACGTTACTTCGATGTTTCCATCTGTTGTTTCTTTTTTTTTTCTCTCGTACAGATTTTGCGACATCAGGCTGTCCGTTTTGCGGCAGAGCGCGCCGGCTACCAGGAGTTGTTTGCTGAACTCGGGATTCGCCTGAGTCAAAGCGTCGCCATGGAGAGACAGATAGTACTGGTGAGGCTTCGGCAAGCAAACGGATTTGCATCAATGAACTCTAAGTACCCATAGAAACTCTAAATACTCATAGAAACTCTAAGTACTCATAGAAACTCCAAGTATACCCATAGAAACTCTAAGTAGCCCGTTACTCATAGAAACTCGAAGTACACACACACACACACACACACACACGCACGCACACACACATACACACACACACACACAAGAAAAAAAAACAATTGTACCTATGGTCTTTCGTACAATAGACGACACGACATCCAATGCGATTTCAGGGCAGCAAAATTGGAAATATTCTGAATAAGGCAATCTTTATGATATTGACACATACTGCTTCACATTAGCGCATTTGACTTAGTATTTCATACTTTGGGCATTTAAAACTGCAGAAACAAGCGCCAACATGAGTCCTTTATTTCTGGGTGGTACCCTAAAAATCAGCCAAGGTATTTTTGTTCTTTGAGGGCCAATAGTAACATTAGGACAGTGTGGTTTTAACTCAGTATGTAGATACTGACTAGAATATTGACTTTGAAAAGTCGGGTTTCCAAGCTCTAACAATGCCTTTAATGGTGTGTTACGTCGAAGGGTGGTTATACCGGCTGTACAGATACAGGTACAGGTACGGATACAGGTATAGATACAAATACTGACTTACTTAGACTTAGGGGCTCCCGCGTCTCGTGACGCATGAGGCAGTCAAAGCAGCCCAGCTTCCTCTGTCAGCAGCCAGCCTCAAGGCTTCCTTCCAGCTTATGCTGACTGCCTGAAGGTCCCTCTCCACTGTCTGTCGCCAGTTCATCCTTGGACGGCCCTAGCTTGCCTCCTGTGCAGGCCTCCGGGCGGGTGGATACTGCGTTTTGTAGACTGTTTAACGCGTCCTTTTGCCGGCCATCTTACAACCAGCCGCCGTGGCGGGTACAAACCTTCTTTTCTGGCCGGCTGGTTGTAAGATGGCCGGCAAAAGAACGCGTTAAGAATTCGAACAAGTCTTAACCAGCTGAGCCGGCGTTTGCATATGATGGAGGACACTAGGTGGTTGTTGATTGGCTTGGAGTCTGATGTTCTTATTTGGAATAAAGTAGTTCCGTCTGGGCTTGAAACTAGACGACACTTGCCTGAACAAGGGAAAGCATACAGTAACTATACTTCCGAAAATAGTTTCATCAGGTTGGTAGATTATAGCATATAGGAATTCTTGGAGAAAATTGGAGTTGGAGAAAATTCAGGCATTTTGAATCATTTACCTGGATGTCTAACCTTAATAAATGATTTTGTAATTTGTTCTTGCAAATTTTAGTTACAGAAAAGAGTTCGCGAGCTGGAGAGAGGCCAGACCCTGCACCTGCTGAAGGCGGCCAAAGTGACGGAGGGTTCGGGCGAACCGGAAAAATCGGATCAAGAACGGTCGGTGAGTGGAACAGGTTACCTCCTAAAAGACTTCTTATGATGTGATTTTTTTTATGTTTACCGAAGGGAAACATATTGTTTTGCTCAGTTTCCTATTCTCCAAACACAAAAGGTCAATGACCTGTACCAGACCGTCTTTCACAATGGTAACTAGTGTTGGGTTACATCATGTTGCAATTTTATAGCAGGAGGGATTTAGACTCCTGTCTGACCATATATATGAATGTGTTTGAGCAAAAATTAACACAGCAGACCATATGCGAAGGTAAACGTTATTTATTTACTTTGTAAATGTTACCTTTCTAGTTAGTTTATTTATTTATTTACTATACTGAATCTGTTTCCCGTTGCCATAGCAACCTAGAGGAGACGCAAAGGACGCTGGGAGCCGTCCTTGGGAGGATTACGTCACCCGTCCGCGAGTTATCAAGTCGGGTTCTGCCATCCTCCAGCAGGCCAAGGAAAACTGCTTGTCGCCAAACGGTTCAGATCAGAGCAGAGCGTCATAAAATCTTGTGAACAACTCTTCAACAAACAAACAAACAAACAAACAAACAAACAAATGAACAGATAGAACAAAAGTTTTTTTCTGTTACTTGAACAGCAGGCCAAGGAAAACGTCTTGTCGTCAAACAGTTCAAATCAGAACAGAGCGTCATAAAATCTTGTGAACAACTCTTCAACAAACAAACAAACAAACAAACAAACAAACAAACAAACAAACGAATAGATAGAACAAGTTTTTTTTTCTGTTACTTGAACAGGAAGCCAGGGAAAACGTCTTGTCGTCAAACAGCTCATGATAATCATTAGATTTTAGACACTCTTCTAATCAGAGTAGAACGTCATAAAATCTCGTGAACAACAAACAAACAAACAAAGGAATAAATAGACCAAAAGTTTGTTTTTTTCTAGTACTTGAATGTCAAGCATATGCTGTACACTAAATATTGTAACAATAGTGCCTTTACTAGATATAACCCTACACACATGTCTATGTGCACCCACAGTCAGATATTAAGTGTATAATACTTAGTATTTATATCCATTGGTTTGGGTTATTCACTTAAATCTAGCATGTACATTTTCTTCTGGTACTTGAATGACAAGCGTATGCTGTACACTATTGAAACAATAGAAGTGCCTTTAACGTTACAGATATAACCCTGCACAATATGTGTATCCAGTCAGATATTAAGTGCACGCCTTCACAAGTGTATGATATTTAGGGGGTTTTTTTAGCCCTGGGTTTGGGTTTTCACTTAAATCTAGAATGTATATATAGAAGTAGTTCTGTGTCAGCATTACAGTGTAAATACATGCTATGGCGATGTACACATGCTTGTTTGCGTGCATGAAACTTTACCGTGTCTTTAGAAGGGCTCAAAATTCTCGATCCTCGAACGACTTCTTTGCAAGAGGAGTGAAGGAGGTGGTCGCAAAGACCTACCCTGAACAGAGACGGGGGGCGACACAAGTTATCTGCCACGTATGGCCCGCTACTACGGTCACGTGTCTCTGACGTCACGTTCTAAGACTGTTGGAAGGAAAGTTTAGTATTAATTTCATAAATGACTAGTACCAACACAGATGAATTTTCATGCTGAAATAACAGACTTATCTTGAAAGTTCATCTTCGGACTTTTTCGCACGAGGAATTCAAGAGGCCATCTACATCAGGGCATTGCAACCATCCCTCAACAGAGACGGGGGCGCCACAGACTTTCTGTAACATATGATCCACTGCTCACGGAGTCACGTGTGTTATCTGCGTGACGTCACGGAAGCGGTGGATTGTTCATTCCTTGACAAAGACTAAAGTTGTACAGTCAAAAATTTGGGTGAGTCCAATTTCTTGTGTTGAAAATTACAGTTCAATCTTAATAAATAACAGGCTTGTTTGCGAGTCTAGATCCTCCCCGATCTTCCAACTGGCCCATACTCTGTATTAATATATATGCTTGGTTGCGTGCATGGAACTTTTCAATCTTACACATGTGGTTGAGTCTGTTCCAAGCATGGATCATATCCAGTGGCCTTTTGTGCCAATGTGAAGCCAGTTGGCCATCAGTAATACAGCGGGTTATTGCCACATTAATTATATGAAAGCCGTAATGGTGCACGGGTTCGATTCCCAGTTTCTCCAAACAGAGTCCTAAGAACACATCTTCTAAGAAGAGGTACTTCACAGTCGGCGACACTTCGTACAGCGGCCGTACAACGTCGCCGGACATCACGTAAGCGAACCCGCAGGGGTAGTTGGGAAACGTTTCTCTGGAGTACTCCTGCTTGCTAAGGTACCACTTGTTCGGTTTTCCCCTCTGTGAAGTGCGGTTTCGAACCGGTTTGGCACCCGAGTAAAGATACCCCGTCACCAGTCCCCTGGTGTTGGTTGCAGGCAGACGTTTCAGGTATCTCACTAAGCTGTAGATGTTCACGAACGTGTCGTCGTCAGCTTTCATGACGAACTTGGCCCCGGGGCAGAATTCTGACGCCCACTTCAGACACATGACGGTCTTCAGGGTCAGATTCCGGTACGAGTCCACGAAGTCCTCCTGGATGATGTCTCTATAAACCATGCTCTCTCGCTCCAGTCTGGTCTGAACCCGCGCGTTTTCTGGTTTTCCTACCGTAAAGACCGTTTTAATGACAGTTCCCGGGTCGGAGTTGGTCTCGTTGCCCCAGGTCCGCCGGATGGCGTATCTTTGGATTGTGTTCATAGGAGCAGATGTCACCATGATCAGGAGAAACACGTCTGAAACTAGAAACGGAACATTTTTGAAGTAACTAGATTTGTCTGTTTGTTTTTATGTATCCAAAAATATATGAAAAGAAGTCCCGTATATTAGCATGCATTACTAATGTTTACCTTTACACCTTTACATGGTCTACCCTAAACAAACTACTGCCCTGTTTATTCTGACTCAAACACATTCATACATATGGTGAACAGCGCCTGTCCTGCCACTTGCTACATAATGTATTCCGATGCCCAATACTATCATGATAATGATCATTCTTGCATACTCATTTTCACCTGAGCGAAGTGAGAAAAGTCGTGTTAAGTGCCTTTTCCAAGGGCACAAGGTTGGCGACTTGGCAGGATTCGAACCCGGGACCTCTTGGTTCTGAGCCGAATGCTCTGCCGCTGCGCCACGCAACCCTACAGGTAAATATAATCATAATGAAACAAATGAAATGTCCCTACTGCCGCATTTCCCAGGGTTGTTGATAGTGAAGGTATAAGGATGAGGGTTGATGATCTCTGCACCAGTGTGCCCATTTGCTTGCTTTTCGGTGTTCAATTGAACATTGGGATCTTCCTTTACCATCATCGCCATCTTCGCTGCCCTCTGTAGACGGTGCGGCTCACCACTGCTTTCCAGTATCTTCTGTTCAGTGCTTGTCTTTTCTCTCTCTTCCAAGTGAAGTCTATCTTCTCTAGGTCTCTCAAAGACGTTTTCCTTCCATGCTTTTGCCTTCTCTCTCTCTTCCAATTGAAGTCCATCTTCTCTGGGTCTTACATGAGAGTTTTCCCACCATGCTCTTGCCTTCTTTTTCCCTCCAAAGTGATGCCCATCTGCTCTAGGTCTCTCATCGGAGTTTTCCTTCCATACTATTGCCTTCTGGTTCCTTGCCAAATGATGTCCATCTTCTCTAGGTCTCTCATTTGTGTTTTCCCACCATGCCATTGCCTTCTCTCTCGTTTCAAAGTGATGCCCATCTGCTCTAGGTATCTCATCGGAGTTTTGCTTCCATGCTATCGCCTTCTCGTTCCCTGCCAAGTGAATTCAGTGTATGTGTCAGGCATATTATGTAATATTTGTTTGGAACGGGAAAATAGGAAAAAGAAGAAGAAACAGGGCAAAAACGACATTTTCCTTCTGCGATGGTAAACATAACTAGAAAGGGCGACATTTGCTTTGGAGCAAATATTCAGCATTACTTCACCACATTTCACGACATGACAGGGAAAGAAGGAGAAATACAAGGGAAAACAATTCTTTATATAGTATGAAGTGACAACAGTTGAATAGCTATCCCTTACATTATTGGTTGGGATTTTCAATTGCATAATGCAAACTGTTGATTTTCAAGATAAAAAGAAGCGTTTATGCCCCGCATTCCAATGCTGGAGCAGGAAAGCTTGACATACCTACCACATAGTGGTGAAGTCATAATTATTTACCTGTTGTAGTGTTCCAACGCGTAACCAGCAAGCTGCTGACATAGGAAAACCCCACGATTGTGCACAGAATGACGAATCTCTTCAGAGTCAGCCTGGCCCAAACGCGAGCCATACTGACGCCTGATGTTCAGCCGGTCTGTAAAACGTACGTAAAAGCTTTATTGACACAACAAAAGTACAGCGACCTTCATAAGGTACGTAAACATACAGACAGAAACGTAGGTACAACAAAATTGACCTACGTACAAAACAATAGATAAATCAACTTATACTACTTGTTCTAAGGTATTCTTTGAACACACATACACACACACGCACACACACACTGTCTCTCTCTCTCTCTCTCACACACACACACACACACACACACACATTTACACACAGACACGTACACACACACACTCTCTCCCTCCCTCTCTCTCTCTCTCTCTCTCTCTCTCACACACACACACAGCCGCTCTGTAATACGTAATACTTTATTGACACAACAAAAGTACAGCGGCCTTCGTGACGTCCGTATCTACATGTAAATATACAGACAGGAATTCCCTCCCCTGAAAATTGTTTCCCACCAACCTACAATCTACAGGCCTTCAAATCAAACGTTCACCGCCATCTCTTGACAAAAACATGTCTCTCTTATATTTCTAGTTCAATGCCGAGAAGTGGTCGTATAGGCTTTGCATTGCACTACTCCGTTAAAAAAAACGTGGGTACAACAAAATTGACCTACGTACAAAACAATAGATGAATCAACTTGTTCTAAGGTCTAAACGTTCTTTGATATATGTACCTATTTGTACACATTAAGGGTTATTACCTTCTAGAATGTAATATGAGAAATGCTATGATATCCGGAACTATGCATATCTGTAGCCAGCTCTATGGCTGAGTGGGTTATAGGCTTTAGATTACAAGAATTACACACACACATTCACACACACTCACACATACACTCTCTGTCTCTCTCTCTCTCTCTCACACACACACACACACACGCACACACACGCTCACACACACATACACACACACACACACACACACACATACACACACACAGACACACACACACACTCAGTCACACACAGACACACACACATTTACACAGAGATGCATTCATTACACAGTGGAAGGAGAGGGATGGGCTCTACCTTCCAATACTGTGTCCTAGGCACAGAGGATTAACAACCCATTGCCCCTACCGCCTCAAAAAGACTACCTTAACCTATAGCTAGCCTCTACCAGGCTTCTGGAGGCGGCTGGAAACAGTATAAACTGGGCAAATAGAGAGATAACATTCCAGGGGAGTTGGTCCGCTAGAGAATACAGTGTAGGAAACTCTACTCTCTAGTGGCAAACCAACTCCCCTGGCATGTTACATGTTATCTCTCTATCTGCCCAACTTCTACTATTTCCAGCCGCCGCCAGAAGCCTGGTAGAGGCTATCCTTAACCAAGGAGCTTGGTATATTCTTAACCTAGCCTTTACCAGGCAAGCTGTACTCTCTAGTAGCAAACCAACTCCCCTGGCATGTTACATGTTCTCTCTCTGTCTGGCCAATTTCTACTCTTTCCAGCAGTCTCCAGAAGCCTGGTAGAGACTAACCTTAACCTTAATCAAGGAGCTTGACAATGACATAACGTTCTTGCCTTCACCTACCTGTTTACTGGCCAAGGCTCTCAGAAAATTACAGTAGAAACAGTAGAAATTGGGAAAATAAGAGAGGGAGTTGGTCCGCTAGGGAATACAGTGTGGCAAGCTGTACTCTCTAGTAGCTAACCAACTCCCCTGGCATGTTACATGTTATCACTCTCTATATCTGCCCAATTTCTACTCTTCCCAGCCGATTCCAGAAGACTGGATAACCTTAAGGAGGTTGGTATAACATTCTTACCTTCACCTACCTGTTTACTGGCCAAGGCTCCCAGGTCAGGTTATCTCTCATTAGCAGAAGAAAGTGGATGTAAACAGGTCGACAAGACGTGGAATCGCCGAAAATATCTGTTTGCTTTGATATTCCTCCGCATCCGTGTGTAGTGGCTGTTTTCAAAACATCAGTGGGACCTATTAGAGTATCAGTACCGGCCGTATAACGTTAGCATGTAGAATTTGGTGGACAATTTTACCACTAATGTTTATTTCTGCCCTTCTTATTTGTGTAAGACCAGCACACAGTTTTGAGATGCCGTGACCTCACAAAGATGAGATATAAAAAGTGGGGTCGTGTGGCGTAACCGCAGCGTGTTAGGCCTTGAACCAAGAGGTTCCGGGTTCGAATCCTATTAATCCTACCCTGTCAATGTGTCCTTGGGAAAGACACTTTACACGACCTTCCTCAGTCCACTCAGGTGAAAAGGAGTACTTAGCTTTGGTTAGGCCACAGAAAGTAATTTCATGGATGACATCTGCGCGAGCATTAATTTTCGCCTGCTTTTGAAAAAAAAAAAAGAATACTGTTTTCATCTGAGTGGTAAACACGCCAAAATTGTACAAAGAGGTCTGTTGCCATGCCGGAATGTAGATGGCAGATAACTATGAAGAGATAGAGGAGACAAGACAAGGCTCTGATTTATTGTTTTGTCTTTTACTTTGAAGCATCGATGTATTTTCATTCCTTTTATAAGTGATGTTCCTACTGAATCAAACCCATTTGTAAATATTTATTTTTCAAAGTTGTTTCAGCTGTGACAAATGGATGTTGTAATAGTTGGCAGTAAAGTTTGCACAATATACATTTTGAAAATGTAAGAATTTTTTTTTTTTGCCCTGTATTTCGTAAAATTGCACTGTATTCTAATACGTTTGCACTTTATTCCGTAAAATTGGACTGTATTCTAATAAACTTGCATTGTATTCCGTAAAATAGCACTGTATTCTAGTGAACTTGCATTGTATTCCGTAAAATTGCACTGTATTCTAGTAAACTTGCATTGTATTCCGTAAAATTGCACTGTAGTCTAGTAAACTTGCATTGTATTCCGTAAAATTGCACTGTATTCTAGTAAACTTGCATTGTATTCCGTAAAATTGCACTGTAGTCTAGTAAACTTGTACTGTATTCCGTAAAATTGCACTGTATACTCTTGCACCCCTGATAACCGCAGTGGCTATATGACTCATCTCCACGTATCAATGAGGACCTCTAGCGATTGATGTCATTCCTACAGCTGCTAGACGCAAAACTATGAAGTAGAAAGGTAACATTTGCAAGCAAATGCAAAATGTTTTCCTTCGCAAATGGTCTGCTCTGTTAATTCTTACTCAGACACATTCACATACATGTATGGTGACAGGAGCAGAGCAGACCATGAAATTGCAACATTATGTAACCCAACACCAGTCACCATGGTGACAGACGTCAACAAATCATGTCATTGGTCAGGTCAGAGGTCAATGTTTGGAGAAGAAGAAGAAGAGGAAGAAACTGAGCAAAAACAATATGTTTTCCCTCTGTAAACATAAATATGTCTCAAAGATTTAGACGTGCTTTTTTTGCTTGCTGTTGTTTTATAAGATTTTGCCATTCGTAGAGTTTGTCGTCATTAATGCTTGCAACCCCCACACACATGTTGCTAAGTCTGCTCCATGCGGCGTATATAGAGCCAGGAATTTTGGACCAGTGAGCAGCCAGCAGCTCAACAGATGTACAGTACGGTGTCGTCCAGTCTTGGTAGGGTATGAAGCCACCGTGATGCACGGGTTTGATCCCAAGCTTTTCCATACAATGGCCTAAGAACACATCTTCTAAGAAGAGGTACTTCACAGTCCACGACGCTTCGTACAGCGGCCGTACAACGTCGCCGGACATCACGTAAGCGAGTCCACTAGCGTAGTCTGGAAACGTTTCCCATGGGTAGTCTTTCGTGCTGATGTACCATCGTCTAAATTTTTCCGTCGCATTTGAGTCTCTAATCGGTTCTACGCCCGAGTTGACATGCCCGGTGACCAGCCTGGTGGTCTTGTTTGCAAACAGACGTTTCAGATGTCTGACTAAACTGTAGATGTTCACGAACGTGTCGTCGTCAACTTTCATGACGAACTTGGCCCCGGGGCAGAATTCTGACGCCCACTTCAGACACATGACGGTCTTCAGGGTCAGATTCCGGTACGAGTCCACGAAGTCCTCCTGGATGATGTCTTGGTTGAGCGTGTTTTCGTGTTCCAGATTCTTCTGTACGGAAGCGTTGTTTGGTATCCCCACCGTGAAGACAGTTTTCATGACAATGTCGGGATCAATCGTTTCCTGCCCCCACGTCTTGCGGATCGCGTGTCTCAAATCAGCGTCTCCCGGCGCAGAGATCACCATAATGAGAAGAAACACGTCTAGAAAAGGACAGCTTTGGTTATTTATCCCATTTATTTACACAGCACGAAAACCGATATTTAAGCAAACTTTCCGCAATATGTTACGAATTATTAAAGGTGGGAAAATATTTCAATAGACTTAACGACTTCATAAAGGCCGCTGAAAGGCAAATTCCGCCTTTTCGTCACCTTTCAGTACGCTTAAATACGACGTTAATTCTTACACAAACACATTTATATATACAGTATATGGTCCGACAGGAGTCCAAATCCCTCCTGCTATAAAATTGCAACATGACGTAACTCAACACTTGTTACCATGGTGAGAGACGTCTGGTTCAGGTCATTAACCTTATTGGTTTGGAGAAGAAGAAGAAGAAACAGAGCAAAAACAATACGTTTTTCCTCAGAAAACAAATGAAATGTCTCTACCTTTGCTGCATTTGCCAGGGTTGTTGATGGTGAACTTGTAAGGATGTGGGTTGATGACCTCTGTTGTGTTGCTGGGTCGTGGGTTCAAGGGTTGTGGGTTCAAAGGTTGTGGGTTCAAAGGTTTTAGGTTGAAGGGTTGTGGGTTGAAGGGTTGTGGGTTCAAAGGTTGTGGGTCAATGGGTTGTGGGTTCAAAGGTTGTGGGTTCAAATGTTGTGGGTCAATGGGTTGTGGGTTCAAAGGTTGTGGGTTCAAATGTTGTGGGTCAATGGGTTGTGGGTTGAAAGGTGGTAGGTTGAAGGGTTGTGGGTTGAAGGGTCGTAGGTTGAAGGGTTGTGGGTTGAAAGGTAGTGGGTTGAAGGGTTGTGGGTCGAAGGGTTGTAGGTTGAAAGATTGTGGGTCAATGGGTTGTGGGTTTTGGGGTTGTGGGTTGAAGTGTTGTGGGTTCAAAGGTTGTGGGTCGAAGGGTTGTGGGTTCAAAGGTTGTGGGTTGAAAGGTCGTGGGTTCAGAGGTTGTGGGTCGAAGGGTTGTGGGTTGAAAGGTCGTAGGTCAATGGGTTGTGGGTTGAAGGGTTGTGGGTCGAAGGGTTGTGGGTTGGTGGGTTCCAGGTTGAAGGGTTCCAAGTTGGTGGGTTCCAAGTTGGTGGGTTCCAAGTTGGTGGGTTCTGGGTTGTTGGGTTGTAGGTTGAAGGGCTTTCGGTTGTATACATGTCTCATCGGTGTGATGTTAGCTGAATGGGTAGCTGTATGAATGAATGCATGAATGAATAAAGACTACGTTAACAAATTGACATTACAAGCTAGAACGGCAACATAATGTTTACCTTCACATGGTCTGTCCTAACGAACTACATGCTCTGTTTATTCACACACACACACACACACACATACACACACACACACACACACACACATATATATATATGTGTGGTGACCATCCCCTCAAACTCTGTCCTGCCACTTGCTACATATTGTAATCCAACACCAGAGTGCGTTTGCTACAGCACCAGTTACCATAGTGACCGCCGTCTGGTCCAGAGAAGTAACATTTGCAAAACAAATACATAATGTTTACTTTCGGATATGGTCTGCTCTGTTAATTCTTACTCAAACACACTATGTACTACTAGTATATGGTGACAGGAGCAGAGCAGACCATGAAATTGCAACATTATGTAACCCAACACCAGTCACCATGGTGACAGACGACAACAAATCATGTCATTGGTCAGGTCATAGGTCACTGTTTGGAGAAGAAGAAGAAGAAACTGAGCAAAAACAATATGTTTTCCTTCGATAAACATCATACATTTACCTTCTGTAGTATTCCGACGCGTGGCCAGCAACCTGCTGATATATAAAAACCCTGCGATGGCGCACAGAAGGACGAGAAAGAAGAATCTCTTCAGAGTAAGCCTGACCATGCTGCCGTCGGAGGGTTCTGTAATATGAGACGGGTCTGAGTAAAGAGACTATTTTTTACACAACACAAAACTTTTTATTTAGCCCCCCCCCCTCACACACACACGCACAGACACAATCACACACACACACACACATACACACACACACACACACTCACACACACACACACACACACACACACACACACACACACACACACACACACACTCACCACACACACCCACACGCTCACACACACACGCACACGCACACACTCACCACACACACGCACACGCTCACACGCACACACACACACACACACACACTCACACACACACACACAGTGACACACACACACACACACACACACACACACAAATTACAGACGAACACAGTCACACACACACACACACACACTCACACACACTCACACTCAGATATACACACGCACACACGCACACACACACACACTCACACACACACACACACACACTCACACTCAGATATACACACGCACACACGCACACACACAATTTACAGTTGGCAAAATGACAACTGTTCCCTTTGCTTATATCGATGCATCATATCAACCTCACAACATACAGTTTTATACATATGATTTCGTATTATTGTATAGTCTGTTATTCGTGCTTTGTATACCCAGCATTGCCTGAAAACAGGATGTACCTGTATCTGTATAGCTGGTATAACTGCCCTAAGGCGTAACGCACGAGCTTCACAGGTACGCGGCGCGGCGGCAGCTGGCTACATTACACCGATCGACTTGTTACACCTAATCTTTGAACATCTAACTCTAGGCATTGTTTAAATCTATCTAATGACAATGCCCCTACTGTACTTGGTGACAGCGAGTTCCACTCTGCGATAGTTCTAGGAAATAATGAATTTTTGAACATCTCAATCCTTGGTTGATAACTCTGGTGCTTGAAGGCATGACTGTTTCTTGTTCTCTGGCTGGTATTAGGTACTTAGTAGTTGGTACGTCCACCAGTTTATTAGTCATTTTGTACATCATGCATAGTCTGGACATTTTTCTTCTGTCTTCCAGTGACACCTACTATAGGTTACTTTTCATTTCCGTGACACTAGTACCCCTTTCACTGCTGGTGAAGTAAATAAATGAGAGTGTTTGTCATATGCACTTTATGGCAAAATACCTACCTATTAAGTAAAAATGCTTACCCAACAGACACTTCTCTAGCGACGCACCTCCCAAGTTTGTCTGCAAATCGTTGTGTTTTTTTCCTCACTCACCCAGAAGTGGCTTTTAGGCCACCGCAAGTAAATTCTATGGATGACATCCTCCACAGACTACAAATCTAATGCGATAGGGCGAAAAAAAAACAAGGCGGGCCAAAAAAAATTCTATATCAGTTCTTCAAATTTTTAGATCATAAATCTTGTTGAACAAGATTTTTTTTATTCAGTGGCAACATCACATATAAAGGAATGAAATACAACACTGTAACAAAGTAAAAGACAAAACATTAAACCAGAGTCTTTTCTTGTCTCCTCTCTTCACATTTATCTGTCATCCACGTTCCGACATGGCAACAGACATATTTACCCATTTTCGGCATGTTGACCATTGTCAGAGGGCAACAAAATATCTTGTTTTTCACCAAAAAATCAGGCGAAAATCAACGCGCACGCTGATGTCATCCATAAAAACTACTTGCTGTGGCCTTATTTGAACACCCGGAACTTATCGCAAATCTCTCAACATTTGTTTATTATTATGGCTCGCGCATCCGGCTCCTGATGCGACACGAAGTTTGTTTGCAAAATATCGGAGCGTCACAATTAACTCGTACAGACACTGACTAGATTTTGTGGATGACATCCCGTTTTACTTGGGGTATCTTGGCTTGGCTTCGTGTCCGAAGATTAATTGGGATATAACAAAATCAATAAAGAGACAAGAGGTTTCTTAACTATTTTCTTTTCTTGTTTTATTTTTGGACGTTACTGAGACATAGATAAAGGAAAGGGGACAGAATAGGATGTGTCAAGCTACCCACGACAGGTTACTGTCCTAGTGCTCCCACCATTCTTTTTGTAGAATTAATGAGTCCGAACTGTACTGAGTTCTTGAGTTCGTTGGAGCGTCGGCAGCCTGGGTGCCGTCCTACGTACTTACCGCCGGCTCGCTATTGTCGCTACCATGGACTACGGCACATGGCGCCCAGGCCAGAGCCTCGGAGGACGTGATCTTTTTTTTTTGAGAGCAGGAAAAGAAAATCAATGCGCGCGCGGATGTCATCCATAAAATCATAACATGCGGAATTCGTTGAAATGATACCGTAAGTTTATCTTAGTTTGTCTTTTTTTTTATTTGTGTAAAATCGTCACACATGTTCAAGGCACCGTCCCAAGGCTCTTGCCATGCCTTCAAGAATAACATTTGGTTGGACTCCAGTTACGTAACCCACTCATGTTATATTTTTGTCTGACTCTGAAAACTGTCACTCAATCAATCAATCAATAGCCTTTATTTATACTGGAAATGCCCTGTCGGCCTATGTAAAAGAAGTGAATAGAAAGGTAACATTTGCAAAGCAAATGCAAAATGTTTACCTTCGTACAGTGGTATATGGTCTGCTCTGTTAATTCTTACTCAAACACATTCATATATATGGTGACAGGAGTCTAAATCCCTCCTGCTATGAAATTACAACATAATGTAACCTAGCACTAGTTACCATGGTATAGACTTCTGGTTCAGGTCATTGACCTTATTTGTTTGGAAAAGAAGAGGAAGAAGAGAGCAAAAACGATATGTTTTCCTTCTGAAAATAGTTTCATAAGGTTGATAAACTATAGGATACAGAAGCTCTGAGGAAGGAAAACTATCTTGGTTGTGTTAAAGAAAACTGGTGTATTCCAAATGTTTTCATTAGGTAAATGTTCTTTCATTCGGTCATGTTCTTGAGAATACTAGCTCTGTATCTGTATCCGTATAGCCGGTATAACAGCCTTTCGGCGTAACACACCAGCTTTCCAGGCACGCGGCGCGGCGGCAGCTGGCTAAATTACACCGATCGACTTGTTACACCTAAACCTTGAACATCTAACTCTAGACACTGTTTAAAGCTATCTCATGACAATGCCCTTACTGTACTTGGTGACAGCGAGTTCCACTCTGCGATAGTTCTGTTCCCTATCCCATTCACAGTTTTGCCCTCTGCTCTCCATACAACTCAAACAAACCCTGGACTACCTCATCCTCCCCACGTTTGACCTTGAAACCCAAGGTCACCAACTTTGGTATTTCCCACGATTCCACGTTCAACAAATCCCCCAAGAGAGCCTCATTCTGGTACAACATGGCGATTTTCTTCACCCGATAGTCGGAAAACAGGTCCCCCTTAAGCGAATGGTATCTCCCGGCCTTTGTAGCGAATGCGGCCGCATTGTAGCAAAACATGATGTAGTTGGACTGGTTGGTGTGACCGTTAAAGTCCAAGTGGCTCTCCCGCACTTCGAACTGTTGCGAATGCACAGAAGGTAATGTGGATGGAAAGGGTAGGCTGGGGTTTGGCCGGGGACTTGTCGCTTTCTGTCGTAAGGATTCGGGGAGGGCGACCGGCCGCCGAGTTGTGATGTCGACTACAACACTGGTGACTGAGAACCGGCACAGCAACACCGCTGAACCTGCAGGAATGAGTGAATGAATGAATGGATGAATAAATGAACTAGAAAGGTAAATGCATAATGTTTACCTTCGCATATGGTTTGCTCTTCTTATTCAAATACATGTACATTCATATATTTGGTCAGTCAGGAGTCTCCTATAAAATTGCAACATTATGTAACCCAACACCAGTCACCATGGTGACTGGTGTTGAAACTGAAATTAATGTTTTATACTCGTTAACGTAAGAAAACAAACCTGCAAGTCTGACATCTCCCTTTAACTCGTACGACGTCTTGCCGACATAGCCGACCCCAACAGTCACCACCACAGTCGAGTCTTGCCTCACGTCAGTGTAGAATCCGGGTTGGATGTGAAACTCTTGGTAACGCAAGAAACTGGTGATCGTCTTTAAGTAGCCCGGAAGGAGGAAGACGGATTTTTCCGTGAGGGTGGCCAGACGGGCGTAGCCAATCAGGAGAGCGAGCACCCAGGGTGTCAGGTGACCTGTGAAAATAATCGGACTGCAGAATTTTCACTGTTTACACCACAGACAATCTTTTATTCTCTAAAAAAAGCATGCATCTAAATTCAGTTATATAACATCAAATAACAAACTTGTGGCCATCCTTCTTACTATAAAAGGCAGGACAGAAATATACTAATTTTGCTAAGAGCGGAAGGGAAAACAAATGAACTGACACATGCAGCATCTGCTGAATATGAAAACATTTATTGCAGCTTTTCTTCATATCATATATAACAGCATCTAAAGTAGATCATGTACAATACAGTCAAACTGCTTAGCAGAGTCTCATTCACGAAGATTGTTGAAAATATGTACCTTTATTTCTTATCATAATCTACATCTTGATCTGAACAATCCTAATCTACAAATAGTTGTAACTTAACATATTTCATTTGATACAGCTCACTGTACCCATGTGCATTATCAAATTCTCTTGGTGTTGTCAAGTTGTACTTGAAGTAGATATAAGTTGTTTGCCACCTCAGCCTTATCTTTTTTAGTTATTCTGGTTCTTCTAAAATCTTACAGTTTGGCCTTCTCAACATAAAACTGCACTGTCACCTGGGTGATGTGTTCTTTTCCCCTCTTAATCTGGAAACAAAGGATTTCCGCACAACCCTGATCCTCCCACATTTCCAGTGTCAGCTCATCCCCTAACAGAGCCTCTCTCTGGTACAAAATACCAACTTTTCTGATTGGACAGAGAGCTATGTCTTTGATGACAGAAAAACTGTTCCTACGAGCAGCAATAGCGGCTGCATCCAAACAGTACCTCAGATACACAGACTGGTTGGTGTGTTTCCTCACATCTATATCACTGTTACTCACTCTTACTTTACACACAAATGCTGGCTCGGGGATTTGTTCAAATGGTCCAGGAACAACTGGCCTATCCTGGCCTTCGTTACTAAACCTGTCGATCAATGCGTCGGGCCACGCGATTGGTCGACGCGTTTTTCGGTTCACTCGGACCATCTGAGTGAAGCTGCGACCGATGATGTCATCGCTTGCATTGCTACGGATACCATAATCGTAGATTAGCGAAGAACGTCCGACATAGCTGATCCCAACAGCCATAACCAAGGAAGTGTTGGGTTTTACAATGGTATAGAATCGTGGGGAAAATTCCACTTCTTGGTAGCGCACGAAAGCTGTTGACCCGTCGTTCTGAGTCCCGGTGTGTTCCTTGATCAGAGGCTGGATTGCGGCGATTCTGGCGAACTCCAGCATTCTCAGGTAAGTCCACACCTGCACCCTACCTGCAGCAACAGAGGGCCACTCCTATTCAATTGTTTGTTTCTTGCAGTTGTCGCATTGAGAAATAATAAAAATGTAGCACTATGGTCAAAATAGAACTGAAAAGTGAAAATGGAGCCAAAAAGAGCACTGTGGATTACAAACATGCCCTACTGGGGATTTCAGTAATGCAAGCCAACTTTTTTAAATTATCAAGTGTGTCAAATCCAAGAGACAACTGATCAAATTGGTGTGGCCTACTGTTGCTGCTGTTTACAATAACTTTGAGTTTAGTTTAGAGATGGTGGTCTTCGGCTGTTTTCTGATTAGCCCAGTTCTAAAAACGTGGGTAATTCAACCAGGCTGGCTATGTTGTTTACTAGTATATGCAATCAGAAAATAGCACATAAAAGCTCCCAAAGACCCTGAAGACCCCCAAAACCCCCAGTTTTTGGCATGCTATGGAGGCTAACACCTTCCAGTCTTACCTGATCGATCGAAGTCAAAAGGATGCAGCTCGTAGGTTGCCACAAGTTTGGTGCCGTCTTCACTTAGTCTGGTCTTCATCTTCACTCCTGGAAATGTTACCACAGGTCCAAGGGTCAATGACCTATTGGTCAGCGACTTATGATAGTCTCTACCAGACTAACTACGCTGGCTATATACAGGAGAATATTTGCCAGGGGAGTTTGGCCGCCTTGTAGGTTTGACTGGCCGCGCAGGAGGGAAAGAAACTACCTCCCCGCGGCCGGACTCCCTTGGCCAATTTTACTCTCCATTTTGCCAAATGCTACGACCCATGTGTATTCCCGTAGAAGTAGTGGAGGCTTAGCCGCGGCGACTGTTGCAGGGCTTCTCTTGCTTGCAGTCTTTTACAGTAGCCCTAACAACAGTCGCGGAGCGGTGCATTGGGCCAAATGAACAAACATGCGTTTTACCGTGCCGGAACACTTTGAGACCGAAGTTTGCACGCCCCTAGATTCCTAACAGCCTCACCTAACGTGCCGGGGTGTTTTGCGTGTCAACCGGCCCCTGTCCGGCTCGTACCGCCACTATTTGCGATCGCTCCCCATGTATTCATAAGCCGAGTGGCCGCCATCTTGGTCAGCCGCGCGCTGAATCAGCTACTTGCAAATGTGCCGCTACTTTTCTGATCCATAGAAATAGCTTATCAGAAACATAGCGGCAAATTTGCCGGCGGCTGATTCAAATCAAAAATGGCGGCCAACTGTTATGTTTTACGTGGGGAACGATCGCAAATAGTGGCGATACGAGTCGCGCAGGGGCCGGTTGACGCGCAAAACACCCCGGCACGTTAGGTGAGGCTGTTAGGAATCTAGGGGCGTGCAAACTTCGGTCTCAAAGTGTTCCGGCACGGTAAAACGCATGTTTGTTCATTTGGCCCAATGCACCGCTCCGCGACTGTTGTTAGGGCTACTGTAAAAGACTGCAAGCAAGAGAAGCCCTGCAACAGTCGCCGCGGCTAGTGGAGGCTATATTTATGAGACTGTTTTGTATCTTTTTACTTAAAAAAAGAGACAGACCCAACACAATGCTAACACTGATCTAACGACAACGATTAGTTATCCTATTTTTGCATAACGTTATACATTAAAAAACTAACCCCAGACCCAAAATCTAAACGTTATATGATGTAACGTTATATAACGTTATATTGTACACGCCCCCAACTCTTATTATTGGGAGTATAATAAAACGGCTTTAGAGTTTGGTTTGAAGAAAACTACGTCGTAAAAAGTGTGTGCATTACCTGAAACGGCAGCTAGAGACCCTAAAAGACGCCCTTCTTGACTTAAACGTGGGAAAAAGAACACTTTTCCGCTAAAAGTCTTGTCTCTTGGTCCAAAGTTCCAAACTCAAGCTATGACCTTTGACCATGGTAGAAGATTACAGTAGAGACCTAGGGGTGTGTTGGTAAGTTTTAAAATGAAAATAAGAAGATAACGCTGCAAAATTTACTGCAAAATAATTTAACATACAAACTTTTTTGGCGCTAGCTGTAAAGTAATTTGAGCCAAAATTTGCCTATATGTGCGTAAAAATTACACTTTTTGACAGAAAGGCTAGTGGACTATTCACCCCTCTCTGTGAATGGGACATTCTCAAAGTTCAAAGGTTAGTGAACGCGCGAACACTAATAACACTAAAATGGCTGGCGAGTTTTCAGGCGTAAATTTCGACAAAACATCGGTAATTCCAAACTTCTAACACGAAGGTCACGCCAGTGGTTTGACCTTCAAATTCGAGCACGTCTCTGGGCGATACGTCATGCATAATGAGGAGGGCGTTCCCCGAATCCTGGTCACTGATTGGTCGAGATTTGTTTACATGGTGGGTCTGGCGATTCGATGTCGTCATAGGTTTTTAATGCGCGTGTTTGTGTTATAATTTTCCCAGACCGGGTCCTACTAGACAGCCTTTAAACCAAGGTAAGCATTTCTGATTATTACGATCGGCTGCCTTTGCGTTTATATTCGTATTTTCGGACGATCTAGAGAATAGAAAAGTCTTGTTACAGTTGCGGGGATGTGTTTTTGCTGTAAAATTACGGTTGTTTTGGTAGAATGTCCTTGGTTAGAAGCCAACCTTGGATCAAGGAGGCTACTAGGATGATGCAATCAGAAAGTACAGGCTAAATGTTGAGGAGATCGAGTCAAATTAACTGAAAGGAAATTTTCCAGTTGAATTGATCTTTTAGCTAGACATCTGAAGAGCTTTTAGGTACATAGAGCTGATATGAACGCAGATGTTCCCTTTTCTTTTAAAAATGTATGAAAACATAAATTATTTACAGTTTGAGGCTGCTGCACATCTGGCATTTTCCCCACACATCAGCAGTTTTGATGATTTTTTAGATCTAATTTTACTTACAATGTCTCCGTGGAAAATGCATTGTTTCAAGAGAGTCTGAGTAATGTTCCAGTAATATTCCAGAAAAGACTTCATGACAAAAATATCCTTAAGTGTGGTGGTTACGTCCCTTGGGAATTGGTTGCTCAAAATTAATGGTGCCCTCCATTTAGTTTTTCAGGATGATCAGTAAAGAACCTAAGAAAATGGCAAGCTTATTACGACAACTGTCTGTATTTGTGTTATTAGCCTAAAAAGCCAAACCCCCTTTGGCGTAACACACCCCAGTTTCAAACCAGCACAACAGGAGACAGTAATTATAATACCTGACATACTAACCTAACCTGTAGTCTGACTCACCAGGCCCTATATACTTGATGGCGATGGGCAAACTTTTTTGTTGATCTTTAATAGGAAAACACTTTTGAACACCTCAACTCAAGCACCAGGGTTAATGACTGACAAAAACTGTCACAGCCCAGATGTGAACTAGTCTTTAAAGCAATGGCTAATTTCTTTGTCCTAAAGATGACCCGTCTGCGTAAGTGATAATTAGAACCTGCCGCTCCCAAGGGTTGGGCCCAGGTGTTCAGGTTTGGTGTCATTTAGAGGGGTGTGAGTTCTACACTTATCTCAAGAATGTTGTCTGGAGGATATGTCCCGTCTTTGTCTTCAACACTTTCTAGCCAGACTAACCTCTGAGCATGCCATTATCTTATCTTTAGTGGTTTATTTATCAATCATTGATACTAGCCCATATGGGTACATGTAATACCACAGTAATAGTCCCTTTAGCTGAATGGATGAGTGAATTTAGGGTAGAATGATATCCAAGGCTCCAGGAGGGATGTTCTTTGTCTAGAGCACATTCAGCCTGTAGTAGGCTTTAACTAGGTGTTAGAGAAACGTCAGGCTTGTTTTTTGGAATCTGACCTTTTGTGACGTCGACCAATCTGATGCTTGTTAATAAATTGCTCAACTAATGCATGATTGTGTTCTTCAAGGTAAGAGAGAGGAGAATTGCAGCCATAGAAGTTTAGAGTACTTGCTTTACACAGAGGCTGGGCCAGATCATTTGTTTGTTTGTTCATTCATTCATTAGTTTGTTTGTTCCTTCCTTCCTTCCTTCATGCATTCATTCCCTTCTTCATTCATTCATTACCTCATTCATTCATTCCATCTGCTTGGAGATTACAACATTCATGAATAGCTATCTTTCTCCAGAACAGCAGGAGCAGACAGTTGCTGAAGATGGAGCCAGTTTTCTCCTCTCTGCTGCGGCCTGACCTGGCAAACTACTGCCCCGCTTCTAATCTCATGATGAACGAGAAAATACGCAACTTACGCAAGGCTGGAGAAAAGGTACACAACTTCTGCATAACGTTACACTTCTTTAATAAAAGAGAGAGGAGACTTGTAAACGATAATTGTATAGTAGGGTGGAGAGAAGGTACTGTCCTGGAACTATCGCAGAGTGGAACTCGCTGTCAACACGTACAGTAGGGGCATTGTCATTAGATAGCTTTAAACTGTCTAGAGTTAGATGTTCAAGGGTTAGATGTAACAAGTCAATAATATTCATTCATTCATTCATTCATTCATTCATTCATTCATTCATTCATTCATTCATTCATTCATTCATTCATTCATTCATTCATTCATTCATTCATTCATTCATTCATTCATTCATTCATTCATTCATTCATTCATTCATTCATTCATTCATTCATTCATTCATTCATTCTACCTGTTCTTTACTTCTTCCCCTGTAGGTCTACCACCTGGCGTTTGGGCAGTCTCCCTTCCCCATCTACGAGGGAGCGACCAAAGCTCTGTGTCAACATGCAGGGGAGAACGCCTACCTACCTGTGGCCGGTGGGTTAATCTCTCTGTTATCTTTTTATGTTTACCGAAGGAAAACATATTGTTTTTGCTCAATTTCTTCCTCTTCTTTTCCTCCAAACCAAAAAGTTCAATGACCAGAACCAGACTGTCTTTTACTAGTTTTGGATCATGTTGCAATTTTTTAGCAGGAGGGATTTAGACCCCTATCTGACCACATATATGAATGCCTTTTAGTAAGAATGAAAGCAGACCATACGCGAAGGTAAACATTATGCATTTGCTTTGCAAATGTAACACCTTTCTTAGTTTTGGCTGATTTTCGTTCGGTAGTTCGGTAGGTAGTTCGGTAGGTAGGTAGTTCGGTAGGTAGTTCGGTAGGTAGTTCGGTAGGTAGGTAGTTCGGTAGGTAGGTAGGTAGGTAGGTAGTTCGGTAGTTCGGTAGTTCGGTAGTTCGGTAGGTAGGTAGATAGTTCGGTAGGTAGGTAGTTCGGTAGGTAGGTAGGTAGTTCGGTAGGTAGGTAGTTCGGTAGGTAGGTAGGTAGGTAGTTCGGTAGGTAGTTCGGTAGTTCGGTAGGTAGGTAGTTCGGTAGGTAGGTAGGTAGGTAGGTAGTTCGGTAGGTAGGTACATGTAGTTCGGTAGATAGGTAGGTAGTTCGGTAGGTAGGTAGTTCTGTAGGTAGGTAGGTCGGTAGTTCGGTAGGTAGGTAGTTCGGTAGGTAGGTAGTTCGGTAGTTCGTTCGGTAGGTAGTTCGTTCGGTAGGTAGTTCGTTCGGTAGGTAGTTCGTTCGGTAGGTAGTTCGTTCGGTAGGTAGTTCGTTCGGTAGGTA